GCTATCAGTATGTGACAACTGGAGGATTGTTTACCTTTATGTCCCTACTTCCTAGCTTAGGGTGTGGTATAGAATAGATAGAAGTACTAGGTTGATGGATGGATAACTAGGCATACATTCATACGTTTGAACAAATACAGTGTCCTTTGTATAATAGCATTTATAGGTATAAATAAGAATCACAACCATAATAATATCAAATATTTACATAGCACTTACTCTGTGCCAAGCACTGTTCCTAATGCTTAACATGTATTACTTCAATTCCCATAACATTATGACTTAAATTACTATTATTATCATTGGTATCTCTGCTCTACATTTGAGAAAAGTGAGTCTTAATGAAATTAAGCAACCTGTCCAAGGTCATGTAGCAAAGAGGCCAGGATTTGAACCCCTGTGGTGTGGCTCCAGAGTTTATGCTCCTATCCACTACACTATTCTTCTTCCCATTATCATGCCATACTCATCATCATAAACCTGTAACTATATATCTGTGTGGCCATTTGGAATGGGGGCATGGAGTGATAAAAGTGATACTTGAGTGAAACATAAAGACTATTGGTGAAAAAATGCCACTTTAACCCTTGAAGGAGGAATTTACTTTAGCATAATCCTATTGGGCTAATCTGAAGCATGAACCAGGTCTTAACCCATATCTGAAAAGTAAGTAAAATGCCTAATTAGTAGTATGCTTAAGTCCCATCTCCTAAAATGTCTTTGTTTGAGAGAAAAATGGTAGTTGACCACTCCTGCTGATACGTGAGTTTACACCTGTACTGTTGAGTTGAATAAAGATATTCAGTTCATCAATGGCTAGAAAATATAAAACATTGCATATAGCAATACATGTATTAGCTGGAATGAATTTGTAGGAAATGAATATTCCCTAATGAATGTAGCAAAGAATGACTTGACAATCAAAATGATATTATGGGAGTTGTAGAGTTGCCTGCTTTTTCCAAATTATATATGCCACCTTCTCTTCTGATGCCTCCATTGGAGGCATGCCTACCACCACCTCCACTTTTGAGAATTATTTCTGTAGTGAGTCACTGTTACAGAGAGTAGCCCATATTCTATTGGTCCCCTGGAAATGAAAAAGGGTTGAAAACTATCAAGCTTTTGCAGTGATACATGTAATGACTATATGATTTCATGACTCTTTTTATTCAAAACTTATCAAGTATCTACTTGACCTCTAGAGAGGAAAAAATAAATTTAAAGAGATAGGTTTTTTTCCTCCTGAAAATTCTGAGTTGAGAGAAACCTTTAACACATTTATATATATATATATATCCAAGAGATTCAAATAAAATAATCAAACCAAATCACTGAAAGGAGAGAAAAGAGTTGAATGTTCAAGTGGCTACAGTGTACACACTTGTCATTTAATCCTGCAAAATGGGTGCTGTTATTCCTGTTTTTCAGGTAATGAAACTGAGGTTCAGAGAACAAAATTTTCATTACTAGAAGCTAGTAAGGTTTGGAGAATAGAGCTTGAGCTTACATCTCTCTAATTCCAGAACCTATGCTCTTACTGCTAATGGCTTCTTCTTTCTTTTCCCCCCAAATTCTTTATTCTTTTTTTGTTGAGATGAGTTGACAGCAGGATGAGTAAGAAAAAATAGTGTTTAGTAATGTATTACTTAGGCATGAGTAGAATTTCCTATTCAAAAGGATCATTGAGTAATCTGCTATTTCTTTTTCTTTCTTTTTAAATTTCTTCTACCTACATAGTTTATGTGTCTACTGAGTTGCTTTCTTATTTGTTTCATTTTGGAACTTTTATATTAGAGATTTTCCTGAAATATCTGATTGCCATTCATATATAAGAGTAAATCACTAAAAATTAGTTAGAAGCTTTGAGCACCTGAGTGGGGTTTGTGAACTTAATTGTATTGTTATTTGGGAGGACGATTCCTCAAGAAACCCCCACTTAATATCTTTCTCTTAGACTTATCATATTACTCAGTTCTGTCTCTTCTGATTTCATGCCAGGATATGAATGATCACAGTTGCAAATGTTCTAGGGTGTGGAGACAGGAAGCAGTCTGGTATATACAACACTCATTATCTAAACTTTTTCTTAATCCTGTTGTTTTTAGTATGGTAACTTTTTCCTTGATTCTGTCTAGAGTACCCCAGTACAGAGAATTCTATTCTATACTCTCTGAATAATAAACCTTCATTTTTTTTTTCCATCAGTAAAGAGAAGTGAAAAGGAGGAGAAGATCTAGAAGTCTGTCTTAATGCTAAGCAGACTTCAACCAATCCTTCTGTTGTTAACCCCCTTTATATCCACTGCCCGAGGTACTTGGTATCACCACTTCCAGACCCTTTTAAGTGGGTTAAGAGTTCATTTGGTTTGCCTGTTGGCTTTCCTTACTGCCGGGTTTCAATTTAGCTTTTGTTCATCTACTGAGTAGGTTACCACTTGTCCATTCTTTTTCCAGCTTTCAAAATTTTGTATCTGAAAAGTTTATGTCTTCTAAAATAAGTTCCTTTATTGCCATTTTAGTGGGGTTTTAGGAGAGAGAGTTAGTATGTTCATTAAATTCACCGTCTTTAACCGGTATTGTTTATCTTTTAAAGATTTAGTTTAATTTAGTTTATTGTGGTTTCAGTTAGGCAAAAATTTTCAGTTTGTATTCTGATCTGTTCATCTTTTTCTTTATAACTTCTGAGTTTTGTTCAAACCTACAAAGTCCTTCCTTAACAAGAAGTTATAAAGATATTCCCTTATACTTCTAATACTTTTTTAGATTTTTTAATATAATTAATTGGTTTTGTGTGCATTGTGTAATGATATACTACATTGTGTAATGATAATGAAGGTGTAATGATATAACTTTTTTCAAATTGCTAGTCGATTTTTCAAACACTCTTTATTGTATATACTATTCTTCATATTTTTAAAGAATCTTCTTATATTCTATAGTGTTTGATATTTTCACTTACTGATATGCTACTTCCATTTTTGATATAAACTTGTCTGTTTTTTTGTCTTTTTTCTGTCTTAAAGTTTAAGTACTGAGAGTAAAATACTTATGGCACCCTTTTCAATAGACTACCATATGTACTTGCAGTCACCTCTAGAAAATTACAGTTTTTAATATTTTTAATGATTTTTACTGATAGTCTTACCGTTTTGTAAATTATATTTTTAAAATTACACTTTTAAACTTTTTGCTTGGATATAAAAATGTAATTATTTTTTCATATTGATTTCATAACAGCATTCTTGCTAATCTCTCATTTTAATAATTCGTTGATTCTTTTTGAGTTTCCTCTATTGATAGTCAAATCATCTGTGGATAATGGTATTTTTGTTATTTCTTTTTTCCCAATCCTTTCATCTTTTATTTCTTCTTCTTGTCTTATTGAGTTGGCTGGGACCTCAAGTACAATGCTGAACAGAAAGCATGATAATGGTCATTCTTCTCTTGTATTTGATTTTCTAAGGGGAATGCTTTAATGTTTCACCATTATATGTAATGTTTGCTGTAGGGTTTTTGTTTATTTGTAGATGCCATTTATCAAATTATAAAGTAACTTTCTGCTCCTGGTTACTGAGAGTTTTCTTTTTTTGAAATTATAAATGTTTTAAAATGAGAATTTTTTTACATTGATTTTGATAAGATTTTTCACCTTAGATTTATTAGTGAGGTGAATTTTATTATAGATTTTCTAACATTGAACCAGTCTTGCAACCTGGATAAACTCAACTTGGTAATGACGTATTTTTTTTTTTTTTAACATTGCTGATTTGGGTTGCTAATACAGTTGTCTCTTAGTGTACAAAGTGGGCTTGGTTCCAGGAACCCTCATGGATACCAAAATCTGCACATAGTCTAGTCTCTTACTCAACCCTGCGGAACCCGCATGTACAAAAAGTCAGCCTTCCATATAGGTGGGTTTCACATCCTGCGGATACTGTATTTTTGATCTGCATTTAGTTGGAAAAAATCCAAGCATAAGTGGACAGTTCAAACCCATGTTGTTCAAGGGCCAGCTGTATTTATTGTTTAAGATTTTTGTATCCATGTTCATGAGTGAAAATGGTCTATTAGTTACCTTTTTGTAATGTTTTTGAACAGATTTTAGTATCAATATTGTACTAGCTTTATAATGTGAGATAAAAAATGTTTCTACTTCTTCCATTCTTTGAAGAATTTGAGCAAAAATGGAATTATCTGTCCCTCAAATGTTCAATAGAATTCATAGGTAAATCCAAATGGGCATAGCGTTTTCTTTGTGGCAAGCTTTTTAATTACTGATTCAAATTCTTTAATATTTGTGAGACTATACAAGTTATTTTATTTCATTTTTATTGAGTTTTGGTAATTTATACTTTTTTTGGAATTTTCTACTTGGTCTAAGTTTTCCAATTTATTGATATGAAATTTTCATAACTCTCCCCTATTAACTTTCTAATCTTTGTGATTATGTCCCACTTTTCATCCTAATATTGCTTGTCCCTTTTCTTTTTCTTGATCCGTCTGACTAGAGGTTTGTTTTATTTTATTAGTTCTTTCCAAGAACCGATGGTTAGCTTTGTTGATCAAATGTTATCTTTGTATTCATTTTCATTAAATTCTGCTCATATCTGTATTTCCTTCTTTAAGCCTTCTTTGGGTCTTTCTGTCTTTTCTCCTAACTTCTAACTTCTTTTCTAATATAAGTATTTAAAGTTATACATTTTGCTACTCCTTTATTGAGCGTAGCACAAAAATTGGCAATTCACTGCAGCACTCGCCTGGCTGATTGATATCGCTGCCATGTTATCTGTGACCAGCCTCGTGGGCTACCACCCTCCCTCTCAGGTGGCAGCAGTGGGAATTTCAAAGTGGAGAAAGGGATTTCATTCTGATGTACAAATTGCCACTATAAATTGTGCCTAAAATTCATAGTGCTTGCCATGTCAAACAATATGATTTTGATATGTATATAGTAAAATCATACTTACTAATGTCTTAATCTCATCTTGTTTCAAATAGGATTCACCTTTATTTGATCTTATTAAACAGTCAAAGGACCGAGAAGGACCAGCTGATCACCTTGAATCTGCTTGTGCTCTTAATCTTCCTCTCCAGAATAATCACACTGCAGCAGATATGTAAGTATAAAATATGCTATCCATTCAGACTACAAATAGATTTTGAGCATCAGTGTAATGCAAGGTACTATATAGAAACTGTAGGGAATAGAATTTTGAATAAGATATTGTTTCTGCTTTTAAGAATTAGGGGCCAGTTACAGTGGTTCATGCCTATAATCCCAGCTCTTTGGGAGGCCAAAGAGGAAGGATCACTTGAGGCCAGGAGTTTGAGTCCAGCCTGGGCAATATAGTAAGACCCTACCTCCAGAAAAAAAATTAAAAGACAAAGTAACACAGTGTGTTGGCATGTACCTATAGTCCCAGCTACTTGGAAGGCTTGGGCAGAAGGTTCACTGGAGCCTGGGAGTTTGAGGTTGTAGTGAGCTATGATTATGCTGTTGCACTCCGCCTGGGCAACAGAGCAAGACCCTGTCTCAAAAAGAAAAAGAATTAGGAATATAAGATACATGACTCAAATAAAGAGTACATATAAAGGAGTAAAAAGTGCTACCGAATCACCTAGGATTGGTGTAATGAGAACAGTTTTCAGGGCAGGAATGACAATTTAGACAGGACTTGAGGTTGGATAGGATTTCAGCCTGGAAACTGGAGAGGAGAGAGGAGACAGAAATGTGTTCCAAGAGCCAGAGATGACATGAACTCAAAAGCATAACAACCAGGGAAGCAGGAAACATTTTTACAGAGTGCAGATCAGCCCATTTGGAGTGAAGCATGCAATAAGTGTAGGGAGTAGTATGGGATATGGACTGACATTATTGATTAGTACATGATAATGATGATGATGGGAAAAGAAAGCAACAGCTAATGTTTATTGAGGCCTCACTATGTGCTGGGCAGTTGCCTAGGTACTTCAGATTTATTTTTTCATTTAATCTCCATAACAGCCCTATAAGGTAGTAGATGCTGTTGTCAGCCTCAGTTATCTATAAAATAGGAATTAGAGAAATAAGGTAACTTGCCTAAGGTCAACAGAAATCAAATCCAACCTCTCTGATCCAAAAGACCATGCTCTTAATCACTCACTACACTGCCTTTCATAGAAATGTGCCTAATGTTATGTTTCTGTTTAATTCCGTGTAGGAACTGACATTGCAGTGTTCTGGTGATTAGTGCAGGGATCATTTTCCAGAGATGTCATTTCCATGCTAACTTGTACTCAAATTATTTCTAGCATATAGAGACTCTGCCTTCATGTCTAAATTTGTTTGCTAGCTAATACTTTTATATAAATAAGTCTAGCCTTTTTTTTTTTTTAATTCAATAAGTAGCCATCTGTTAAGTGGCAGGAAGTATTCTAGGCACTGGGAATATAGAAGTGAGTCTAGGTCCTTCCCCTCATAGGGCTTACATTCTGGAGGAAGAAAACAGCGAACAAGCAAATGAATATGCAGGATGATTTAGAATGTAAGTACTGTAGAGGAAATCAGTAGAGCGATGTAAAAGAGAGAAACTGAAAGGGTGATAGAATGTTTAGAGATGCTTTCTTTCCTTCCTCTGATGAAGTGATGTTTTGACCTGGCACCTCGATGACAAGCTTGATGCTGGCCAGGCACAAAGCTGTATGCTGTGTATTTCAGGCAGAACAAATAACAAGTGCAGTGGCCCTAGAGCAGATCAAACTTAGCTGGTTTGAGGAACAAAAAGAAATCCCAGTGTGACTGGGGTGTAGTGAGCAAGTGGAGAATGGTACAAGATGGGATTGGAGAGTCAAACTGGGGCTAGATCCTGTAGGTTCCCATACGCCAGAGTAATGAGTTTGGATTTTATAAGGGAAGTGGGAAAGCATTTAAGTAGGGCTGTGCAGCTTGCTATAATTTGTATTTTTAAAGGACCACTCTCTGGTTACTATTCTAAGTACAGGTGGGCTTGGGGAAGAGAAGGGAACAGGGCAAGGAAGAAAGTGAAGAGACAAGTTTGGAGCCTATTTCAGTAGTTCAAGCGAAGGATGTATATGACAGAGATAGAAATGGAAAGATCTGGGATATATTTAGAGATCAATTTAATAGGTTTTACATTTGATTTGAGGAATTGGGAAAATGGAGAAATTAAAAATAACTCCTAGATTTTTTACTTAAGACACTAGATGTAATGTGGAGCAATTTTTTGAGATGGGAAGAATTAGGGGAAGACAGAGCTCTGCTTTGGCCTTGTTAAGTTTGAGATTCAAGTAGTGCTATCCAATAGGTAATTAGATATTTGTACTTAAAACTCAAGAGACTAACTTTTGTCCAAGTTAAGTCGGTCTACAATGTCAATTGGTGAACTGAAGGGAAATCCAAGGTGGATAGTAGAGCAGACACTGGTCTTTCTAAAATCATTGTGTTGGTGAGTTCCTTTTCCTAGTGTGCTAGTTAATATACCATGTGTAATAGAAACATCCATAGTAAGGTACAAATCCTACTTCTTGTTCTCTTTGTTCTTAAGGTTTATGTCTTTTAAGATAAATTTGTTTACTGCCAGCTACTAAAACAAAATCAGAAAGTAGTCCTGGATTATTCTGTTAAATAGAGGGCAGCACAAAAGAATTGCCAGAGATTGAGAGATAGTATTTGCTAATATCTCTGCCTTGATTTATGCCTGACATATTTAGTATACAGGTATAAATCTGTCTTAATAATGTTATTTGACATATTCATAGAATTCTGTACTATGTAATTTAGGTGTGTGTACGTGTGTGTCTGTGTGTGTAACTTATGTCTTATATGTGAACCACAGTTACCAAGAAAAAAAAATTTTAGAAGGAGAATCAGAGAAATATGACCACATTTGGTATCAAAAATTGTTTTATAAGCTAGAGTTATCTTATAGTCTCAATCCCACTATAATTATTAAAATTGAACATTATACAACTATTTTTTCCCAATAAGGCAGTAATCCCCAGGAAAAGCCATTTATTAAAATGGATATGATGATGACAAACATAGTTTTCCTATTAATCTGTCTTTCCCAGCTTGCATTTAAATAGCCTACTCAGGGAATTTGATGATATAAAGATTAATTAGACAAGATGTATCTAGGTGCATGTGTACAGCATTGATGGGTGTGTGCGTGCAAATGATTCTTAGCAAACTTCAAATGAAGACTTTTCCTTTGAATATATCCAGGTATCTTTCTCCTGTAAGATCCCCAAAGAAAAAAGTTTCAACTACACGTGTAAATTCAACTGCAAATGCAGAGACACAAGCAACCTCAGCCTTCCAGACTCAGAAGCCTTTGAAATCTACCTCCCTTTCACTCTTTTACAAAAAAGGTTAGTAGATGATTATTTTCAAGAGCATGGACTCTGAAACCAGACTGACTATGTTCAAATCATGGCTTTCCTACTTACTAGGTGTTACCTTGGGCAAGTCACTTAATATCTCTATGCCTCAGTTTTCTCATCTGTAAAATGGAAATGATAATAATAATAATCTACCTTATAATAATCTACTTTTGAGATGATTAAATGAATTAATACTTATAAAATGCTTCCAACAGTGCACATAGTAAACACTCAGAAAATGTTAGATGTTATTGTCGCTGCTGCTATAGTTTCTATGCCTTAAAAGTAATGTTTGGAAATACTTGCTCCTAACATTACTTTTGCTGTTCAGATGAGTATGTACAGTTGAGATCATACAGTGTCCTGTTGCCTAGTGCAGACATATTTCCTGGATATTTTCAGGATGTTTAAGAAGGCCAGTAACCAGGTTGGATAGCATCCTCTGATTGTGTGTACATGTGGGTGGGCGGGGAGTCTATTTGAGTGTCTGTGCATGTGTATATACTCGTAAGTGCACACCCACATGGAGCTCTTCAAAGGAGAGCAAAAGGCCTGATTCTTCTGTGGTAAGTCTTTTTCCTGATTTTATTCAATTCAGAATTATATTGAGCTTTACTGGTATATTGTAAGACCAGAACAGTGGTTTTCAAAGTGTGGTCCCCAACCAACAGAATCTGCATCACACATAAAGTTGTAGAAATGAGGATTTGAGGGCTCTACCCTAGACCTGCTCAATCAGAAACTCTAGGATAGGGTCCAAAAATCCTTGTTTTAACAACCCTCCAGGCAAGTCTAATGTATGCTAAAGTGTAAGAACCAGTGGATAAATTATTAGCTTTAAAAATTTCTAATTACCTTATGTAAGTCTTTGAAAGGTACATAAAAAAGGTCTTTATATTTAGAGGGAAGAAAATTCAATTTTTCATATTCTTTTTCTCCAAATTTGTATTTCCAGTAGTGTTTTTTACATAGAATCTTGAAATAAATTTTGTCACAGTCATGTAACACTTAGGTAATCTACAAGTCCACCATTTTTCAAGAGTATGCCCCATTGGTATTTTATAGAGAAATGCATGGTTTGATTTTTTTTTTTTTTAGGATTGGAAAAATTAGTAGACATTGGTAATTCCATTATTTCCAAAAATAATTATCCCTCTTAAATATTAATTGTGAGAATTTCCAACATCTGTGGTGAGTGATTAACAGAACTAAAAAAACTGTATGGTTTATCTAATTTTAGTGTCTTGTGACCTTTCTTCCTCTACCTTCCACCTCTGCCTCAATTTCATGCTATTAATATCATAACTATTCAGCAAGTATATTGTGCTTTCTGTGTACCTAGCACTGTGGTAATACTAAGAATCATTTATTTATAAGGAAATAGGGGTAAGAGTGAGGTTACTGTTAAAATGCTGATTAAGAGCATTATGATTAGAGCAATTTAATGATTTGAAAAAATCTACTTGTAATTCAAGATGAACATGACTAATTCCCCTTATCCCACAGTGTACCGGCTAGCATATCTCCGACTAAATACCCTATGTGCACGCCTTCTGTCTGACCACCCAGAACTAGAACACATCATCTGGACCCTTTTCCAGCACACGTTGCAAAATGAGTATGAACTCATGAGAGACAGGCATTTGGACCAGGTAAGAAAATCAAGCACTTCACCTATTCTCCTCCCTACTTATTTGTTAACTATGTGCTGCTTTCTAAAGAAAGATTAGATTCAGATGAGAAGCTAGATTAAATTTATTATACTTAATATATATTCACTTGTTGGCTACCATTTATATTTTTGCTATAATTCTTACAAATCAGAGATTTAGAGTTTAAGAGTATATTTCAGTAACTATGGTAACTATTCAATGACACAAAAGATCTTATTTATAAAAAAATGACTAAATCTGGCCGGGTGCAGTGGCTCACGCCTGTAATCCTAGCACTCTGGGAGGCTGAAGGAGGAGGATCGTTTGAGCTCAGGAGTTCGAGACCAGCCTGAGCAAGAGCGAGACCCCGTCTCTACTAAAAATAGAAAGAAATTAATCGGACAACTAAAAATATATAGAAAAAATTAGCCGGGCATGGTGGCGCATGCCTGTAGTCCCAGCTACTCGGGAGGCTGAGGCAGAAGGATCGCTTGAACCCAGGAGTTTGAGGTTGCTGTGAGCTAGGCTGACGCCACGGCACTTTAGCCCAGGCAACACAGTGAGATTCTGTCTCAAAAAAAAAAAAAAAAACCCTCACTAAAAAAATCACTAAATCTGTTTATCAGGCTTTTTCTGTGTTGTGGTGAGGTAGATTTCATTTTAGTGTGGAAAAACACGAGACTTAAGAATCAGTTTATTTAAAACAGTACCTGTTGAATGAATAAATGAATGAATGAATGGAGTTAATTAGTTTACAAATAGAGAATAATCTTTCCTATCCTCCTTTTTCTTTGTAAAATGGGGTAAGAGCAACATTTTTTGGTAACAGCTTTATTGATAAAATTCACATACCATACAAACCACCTATTTAAAGTATACAATTCAGTGGTTTTTAGCATATTCACAGAGTTTTGCAACTATCACCACAATCAATTTTAGAACATGCTCATCACACTAAAGGAAACCCCATGCCCTTTAGCAGTCACCACCCATTCCCACACCCTCTCACCCCAAGGCAACACTAATCTACTTTCTGCCTCTGTAGATTTTCCTATTCTAGACATTTCATATAAATGGAATCATATAATATATGATCTTTTGTGTCTGGCTTCTTTTATTTAGCATAATGTTTTCAAGGTTCATCTGTGTTGTAGCTTACATCAATACTTTATTCCTTATTATTGCCAGATAATATTCCATTGTGTGGCTATATACCACATTATGCTCATCATTCATCAATTGATGGACATTTGGATTGTTTCTACGTTTTGGCTATTAAGAAGAATGTCTCTATGAACATTCAAGTACAAGTTTTTGTGTGGACACATGTTTTCGTTTCTCCTGGGTACATACCTAGGAGCGGAATTGCTGGGTCATATGATAACTCTGTATTAACCATTTGGGGAATGGCCAGATTATTTTCCAAAATAGCTATACCATTTTACATTCCTACCAATAGTGTATGAGGTTCTAATTTCTCTACATCCTCACCAACTTTTTATCTGTCTTTTTTATTATAGCCATCCTAGTGGTTATTAAGTGGTATCTCACTGTGGTTTTGATTTGCATTTCCCTAATGGCTAATGAGTTGAGCATCTTTTCATGTGTTTATTGCCTATTTGTATATCTTCTTTAGAGAAATATCTATTCAGATCCTTTGCCCATTTTTAATTAGACTATTTGTCTTATTATTGAGTTGTAAGTGTTCTTTATGTAGTCTACATACAAGTCCATTATCATATATATGATTTGCAAATATTTTCTCCCATTCTGTTTCACTTTCTTGATAGTGTCCTAAGCACAAGTTTTTAATTTTAATGATGTTCAATTTATCTTTTTTTTTTCTTTTGTTACTGGTGCTTTTGTGTCATATCTAAAAAACCATGGCCAATTTGAAGTCATTAAGATTTATCCCTGTTCTCCAAGAGTTTTATATTATTAGCTCTTACATTTAGGTTTTGTTCCATTTTGAGCTAATTTTTGTATATAGAGTGAGGTAGGGGTCCAACTTTATTCTTTTGTATGTGGATAACTGGTTGTTCCAGCACTATTTCTTAAAAGTCTTTTCTTTCCTCATTGATAGTTGTCAAAAAAATTAATTGACTATAAACGTCTAAATGCTTATTTCTAGACTCTCAATTCTATTCCATTGATCTGTGTAGCTATTCTTATGCCAAGACCACACTGACTTGATTACTATAGCTTTGTAGTATGTTTTGAAATAGGGAAGTGTACATGCTTCACTTTGTTTATTTTCAAGATTTGTTTGATTGTTCTGAAACTTCCATTTCCATATGAATTTTAAGATTGGCTTGTCAGTTTCTGCAAACAAGCCAGCTGAGATTTTGATAGAGATTTCATTGAATCGTAGGTCAGTTGGGGAGCATTGTCATCTTAACAACATTGTCTTCCAATTCATGAACATCTGATGTCTTGCCATTCATTTAGATCTTCTCTAATTTCTTTCAATAATGTTTTATAGTTTTCAGAGTACAAGTCTTAACACTTGTTAAATTTATTCCCAACTATTTTACTCTTTTTAACACTATTATAAATGGAATTATTTTCTTAATTTCATTTTTGGATCATTCATTTCAAGTATATAGAAATAAAATTGATTTTTGCATATTGGTCTTGTATCCTGCAACCATGCTGAACATGTTTATTAGTTTTAAAATTTTTTTAGTGGATTCCCTAAGATTTTCTATACATAAGATCATATCATCTGCTGATAGAGATAGTGTCAGTTCTTTCTTTCCAATCTGAATGACTTTTTTTTTTCATTTTCTTGCTGAATTGCCCTGACTAGAACCTCCAGTACAATGTTGAATGGAAGTGGCCTGCAGGGATCTCTTTGTCCTTGTCACTGATATTGAAGGAAAGCATTCAGTCTTTTCACCAGTAAATATGTTGTTAGCTGTATGTTTTTTGTATGTCCCCTTTATCAGGTTAAAGAAGTTTCCTTCTATTCCTAGTTTCTTGAGTGCCTTTATCATGATGGATGTTGGATATTGTCAAATGCTTTTTTCCATATCTATTGAGAGGATCATGTGGGGTCTTTTTCTTTTATTGTATGGATATTGTTTGTTACAGTAATTGATTTTCTTACGTAAAACCAATCTTACGTTTCTGGAATGAATCCCACTTGGTCACAATGTATAATCCTTTTGATATGTTCCTGGATTCAGCTTGCTATTATTTTGTTAAGGATTTTTGCATCTATTATCATAAGAGATATTTATAGTCTTCTTATGTCTTTCTCTAGTTTTGGTATCAGAGAAATAATGGCCTCATAGAATTAGTTGGGAACTCTTCTAATTTCAGAAGAGTTGTGAAGAATTGGTATTGAGTCTTCTTTAAGTATTTGGTAGAATTTACCAGTTAAAGCCATCTGGGCCTGGGCTTTTGTTTGTGAATAGTTTTTGATTACCACTTCAAGCTCAGATTTTCTATTTCTTCTTCAGTCAATTTTGGTGGTTTGTGTCATTCTAGGAATTTTTCCATTTCATCTTAATTATCTATTTTATTGGTATACAATCGTTCATAATATTCCCTTATAATCCTTTTATTTCTGTCAGGTCAGTAGGAATGTTCCCAATAAAAAATGATATTTTAAAAATATGGTTTATTGCATAACAAATATGTATATTTTACAAGAGCATATTTGGATATAAAAATTCTAGTATGTTGGATTTTTAAAATAGGCACTTATTGCCTTATGATTCTACTGCTTTTCCACAACAGAGAGAGAGAGACAGTAATACTAAGGATTTCTAATGAGATTAGGTATCTAGAATCAAGAAGAATTTTATGAGAGGTGCCTTAAGTAAAGTATTGAAGTGGAGAAAAATGTGAATTGGCAAAGAGGATACTGAATGACATTTTAAATAGAAGGAATAGTAGGTTTAGGGTTGGTAGGATCCTGAGCAAGGGATGATGAATGGATATTCTTGGCAAGAGTAGGTAAGAACAAGAATGTTGTAGAAGCGATGAGTACTTAAATTAGGCAATAAAGTTCATAGAAATTAAGGAAGTCTGATATTTATTTTAAAGTCACAGGGAATCATTTTCATATCTTATTTTTGCATTTAAAATGTCTTTTTGTTGAAATATACTATGGATATACCAAAAGCCATGTATCATAAGGGTACATCCTAATGAAAATTCATCAACTGAAGTCACCTGTATAACCAGCTCCAGATCAAGAAACACAACATTGTCAACAACACAGAAGATGCTCTCTTGTCCCTTTCCAGTCACAACACCCTCCTTACTGCCACCAAGTGTATTCAATATTGTTTTATCTCACAGTTTAAAACTCTTTTACACTGGATTTTTTTTTTCAGTGCTAGTTATGCAAAATTAACTGATTCTAGTTTCAACTTTTCTCTTCTAGGAAACATTCAAGGGACAGAAATCAAAGTTAGGGTAATTTACAAACCTGAATAATTGAGTGTTGGCTATTTGCATTTTGTTCTTTAAACACAATTTGGGTTAAACACTTCACATAAACTTTCAAACTGAGCTTAGGATGGAAAGAAATAACTCTGTAAGAAACTCAATTTCCATTTTTTGAGGCTAAAAGAAAGATAATAGTGCTTTTTAAAAGAAAACCATATAATAAAATTCTGACTATTTTTACATCACATTTATTTACTAGATTATGATGTGTTCCATGTATGGCATATGCAAAGTAAAGAATATAGACCTTAAATTCAAAATCATTGTAACAGCATATAAGGATCTTCCTCATGCTGTTCAGGAGGTAGGTAATGTTCCGTGGTAAGATTTTTTTTGATAAATCCATATCTATAATATTGATAATTTCAGTCATTAATTAGATCATATATTCTGACTTAAAATGTAAATTCACAAATCAAATTTTTACTTTTATATTGTTAATTATTTGTAACTCAAATGGAATTAGAAAGCTAAGGCAAATTATGAAATTATCCATATTCATAGTTTTTTATAAAGCAAGTAAATAATACTATATTCCTGCAGTAGTAAGCAGGATATTTGTAATAAAGTTGACATGAGTCATAGGACATTAGATGTTCTTTCAAGGAATTTTTCTTACTTTATAGGAAAAGCCAGTGTAAATGCAGCTGTACAAAGAAATGGTAAAAATTTTCAGTGTAGACACATTTTGTGTTTCCTGTTTACCTTCCCTTTAGAAAAACAGGGCCAGGCGTGGTGGCTCACGCCTGTAATACTAGCACTTTGGGAGGCAGAGGCAGGAGGATTGCTTGAGCCCAGGAGTTCAAGACCAGCCTGGGCAAAATAGTGAGACCCCATCTCTACAAAAAATAGAAAAATTAGCCGGGTGTGGTGGCATGCACCTGCAGTCCCAGCTGAGGTGGGAGGATTGCTTGAGCCTGGGAATTTGAGGTTGCAGTGAGCTATGATGACACCACTACAACTCTAGCCTGGGCAACAGAATGAGACACTGTCTCCAAAAAAAAAAAAAAAAAAACCACTACAACTCTAGCCTGGGCAACAGAATGAGACACTGTCTAAAAAAAAAAAAAAAAAAAGAATTGAAACTTTAGAGAAACAGTGGCAGTAAAATACATTTGGTATGACACTCATTTCATACTCTTCTGTGGTAGATGAGTTGTGGGTCATTTTTCCAGTTTATCATTGGAGTTCTCAAAGTAATAAAAACCAAGTTTTTTTTGTATGTTTGAAGTTATTTTCTAAATCCAGTCATTTTATTTAATAATTGTATATATCAGAGGCATCCTATAAAACCCCTGTGCTTTTACCTAACTAAAATTTGAGTAAAATGTAATTATCAAAAAAAAAAAATAGTGCTTTTACTAAGTGTCTCCTTCTTGCAACAGAGTAATGCACACTTCTTGAACCCTTGCAGATTAGGGGGATGCAGGGAGGTCTGGCCCAGAGAATGTAGTCTAAATATTGGTGGATAATGTTGTTGGCTTGTGCTCTGCTCTGGCCCTTTAATTTCCCTAATGCTTTCCATCCTGCCAGCCTGGCTACTCCTCTCTCTGGATGGCCAGCCGTTCTATCTGCTGCTGCCTGGCTGCTTCTCTGGGTCATTCTGTGACATTTCACTTCTGGTAGAGCAGCCATAATCCAACCCTAAGAAGGCTTTTTAGATTATTTTTTCCTGTATAATATATACTTCTTACTAATTAAAAAGTATAACAAACTATTAGAAAAGGAAATCTAAAGAGAAAAATTCACAAATTCATTTAACAAGTATTTTTACTATTCTCCCTCAGACATTCAAACGTGTTTTGATCAGAGAAGAAGAGTATGATTCCATTATAGTATTCTATAACTCGGTCTTCATGCAGAGACTGAAAACAAATATTTTGCAGTATGCTTCCACCAGGGTATGTTGAAGGTATCCTTTGATTGGGAAAATCTAATTATTAAGTAATGGATTCCACCAGAACATTAAATAAATAATCTACTTTTTTGTTTTTGCTCCAGCCCCCTACATTGTCACCAATACCTCACATTCCTCGAAGCCCTTACAAGTTTTCTAGTTCACCCTTACGGATTCCTGGGGGGAATATCTATATATCACCCCTGAAGAGTCCATATAAAATTTCAGAAGGTCTGCCAACGCCAACAAAAATGACTCCAAGATCAAGGTTTGTGTTTTCTCTGGTAAAGTGAAGTGGTAAAGAATAAAAGGAGATTATTTGATATAAGCATAAAAATATAAAGCTTTCTTTGTTTAAAATAGACATTTTTCTCTAATTTGCTTATTTATATTAAGTGCCATTGTAAGAATTTGGGGGAAAAGATAATCTAATTGAATGGGTTTGCAAATTTAATTATCAGCTTTCCTGGCTGCTTTCCTGGAGTTTGTTCTTTTCTAAACAGTTTGAGAACTAGTTTGGTTATACATTTCAAAACACTTTCATATTTTTGTAAGTATCCAATCTCCCAAATAAGTAAATTACTTAGGTTAAGAATTTTTATTCTGTAGTTTACTGGATGTCCTGTAAACACTTTCTGTGGACCTTGTTCATTTTACATTTTACAAAAGTGGAGATAACTTATTAAATGTAGATGACTGTCAGTTAAGTCTTTAGAGGTTCATTCTTAATCCTGCTGGTAGCCGCCTTATATTACCTTGGGCAGGTTTCTATCTCTACTTCAGAAGGGTGCTGTGGATCAGGGAAATGAGTGTGAAGCTGTTTTAAGTTCTCAAATGAACTTAAAACCTATTATCATCATATTATCATCCACATCTAACCACAAGTGCCCTCTGGCTTCGAAGTGCTTCAGTTGACTAATGATATGTTATCATGGGCTATGTGAAACTGACTTTATTTGTATAAGTAGAAGGCATATTAGTATAGTTAATGTAGTCTTATCTCAGAAATTATCAGCCAATATAGTTGTACCTAATGGGTAAGAAAAACAAACAAGGAGAAGGGGCTATATTAGCCTTTAAGAAAATATTTATATGTGTTTAATCATATAGGGAATGCAATTGTGATAAAAATTTCAAACTCTACAGAAAAATATGAAGTAAAAAATAATTGGCAGTATGATACAAAAATGCTCTCCTGTGCCCTTGTATCATCCTTTATTTGGTGTTCTTGTAGTTGGATATCTGTGTACTGAGATCTGCCACTTAAATTTTAAACTGCTAAGATGCCACACCATGTCTATTTAAGTTAATTTACACGGTCCCACGCCACCATATGAAAATGTATACTTAGGTAGTTTTTTAATGATGATAATTAACCCATATTATGGTGACGATGACAGCTATTTGCTGATCTCAATAAAATCAACTCTGTGTTGGTGTTAGTGTTTTGGCAAAAAAATCACATTCTGAAAATCCTAATTATTGATCTAGCATTAAGAGAGCATCTTAACACTCTATTTATCCAGCATATTTAGGTATTCTGGTTAATCAAATGTTATATATGGAATCATGGCCACTTATCAAGGAGTTGGAAGAAAATATATTAGTATATATTCACTAGTTCCATGTGCATATTTTCAAATCTTTGTTATGTCAGTATAATGCTATTCTTCAGCTCTATTATCAAGAACATAGATTACTTGGTTCAAACAAAGACAAATAAACTAATAGAGATTTCTGATTCTAGGATATATGATAAATAGCCTTTATTATATATCAATATAGATCCTAATAAGAATTCTGATTATTACTTAATGCTGTCAGTTTTTGCCCAAATGTAAATTGAATTTTAAATGAAAATTTGTGAAAGAAATTTGATAACTTACCCATTGATTTATGAAGAACTAAAAACAGGGGTAAACTTAAAACTTTCTTTTACCCTCTTTAAATATGAGCAATGACACAATATGTTTTTGAAAAACTAGACTTCTTGCTTTAAATATCTAAGAGACTACATGAGTGTATGATTAGACTAGCACTGTTAGAATAAGCCCATGATGAACATAATTTGTCAGTGGCTCTAGTAGAGGAAAACTTTGATTTGGTATTCCTGATAGTCCAGAATGATGTGTCTGTGTCCATCTCTGTACAGTTGTGTATGATTTTCACTACTAATTTGTATTTCATTTTAACTTGACAGAATCTTAGTATCAATTGGTGAATCATTTGGGGTAAGTATTTTTTTTCCATGAAATACAAAGGCATGTACTATAACTATAAAAGAAATTAAATATTTCTATAATCGTTAATTATAATGCTAATCTTAATTTATAAATGCTATTATTTAAATACCTTATCCAGGCATATTGCTTAGAATTTAGAAGATAGAAATATCTCAGCTTTATTTTCAAATAAGGTTTAATTTCAAATCATACTTATAATTGATGAACATCAAAACTGTTTTCTAAACATTCCTTTGAGACTATATATGTATAAACATACATATATGTGTGAGCTGTTTTTACTCATAACACTTTTGACACCAAATGCGTGGGGGTTTTTCTCATACCCATCTAGTCTCCAACTCTCTGCACACAGCTGGTGTCCTACAATTCAGTTCCGACACTCATCGGTTGGAGTTAGTATCAGACTCCACAGGAGCAAGGGCTCAGTCCTGCGAGACTGCCCTCACTGCAGATGCCAGTCACAGTGTCAGGTCCCCCCAGGTTCACCACACTTGACGTCCAACTTGGCTACAGAGTCAGGAGGTTCCCACAATACCTCCTCCAAGTTTGATCTTTTGCTAGAATGGCTCACGAAATTCTGAAAAATGCTTTAATCAGTTTATTATAAAAGAGACAAATGAACAACCAGATGAAGAGGTACATAGGGCAAGGTTCAGTAGGGTCCCTAGCATGGGAGTTTTCTGTCCCTATGGAGTTAGAGTGTGCCACCCTCCTTGGACATGTTTGCCAATTCCAAAGGTCTCCCAACCCTGGGGTTGAGGGTTTTTTATGGTGGTTTTATTGTGCAGGCATGCTTGATTAACTCAGTCTCCAGCTCACTCCCCTCCCTGGAGGTTATGGGTGGGGCTGAAAGTTGTAAGCTTCCCATCAAGGGTCGGTCTTTCTGGTGACCACCTCCTATGCTGCAGCTATTCAGGGGTCTGCCAAACATAGCTTCATAATAGAACAAAAAATGGTCCTGTCACTTTTATCACTCAGGAAATTCCAAGGGTTTTTAGGAACTGGGGACAAAGGCCAGATATCGTTATGTGATACTGTATGTGTATGTATGTAACCTCACAGGAATGTTTACAAAACAGTTTTGAAATTCACTAATTATGAGTACGATTTGAAATGAGATGCTCCAAAATGTCATGAGCCTGTCCCTACCTACTGGTCTTCTCTGTCCTTACATAGACACTGTTTTGCTTATCCTTCCTTTCAGACTTCTGGGATATTCTTTCTCTGGTACACTGATTAGGAATTGGTTACATGAGACCCTGCCCCAGTAAAAGTGACAGGGCTTATATGGTGATCTTCATTCCAGGCGATCCAAGGGAAAGCTTAGCTTTGAAACAGTTATTCTAGGCTAGTAAGCCACTACTCTAGTTGGCCTTGCATTTTTTTTTTTTTTTTTGAGACAGAGTCTTGCTCTGTTGCCTGGGCTAAAGTGCCATGGCATCAGCCTAGCTCACAGCAACCTCAAACTCTTGGGCTCAAGCGATCCTTCTGCCTCAGCCTCCCAAGTAGCTGGGACTACAGGCATGCGCCACCATGCCCAGCTAATTTTATATATATATATATATTTTTTTTTTTTTTTTTTTTTTTCAGATCATTTTTTTTTTATTTTTAGTAGAGACGGGGTCTCGCTCTTGCTCAGGCTGGTCTCGAACTCCTGACCTTGAGCGATCCTCCCGCCTCAGCCTCCCAGAGTGCTAGGATTACAGGCGTGAGCCACCGTGCCCGGCCTGGCCTTGCATTAAAGTCAATAATTTAGCAGTCCCACATTCAGTGTGCATTACTATTAATATGTTGCACCACTCCTCCCCTCCAGAGAGCTTATATTCTTACAGGAATGGGAAGGCTCCTGTATTATTTATTGCTGCATAACAAATTACACCCAAACTTAGTGACTTAATACCAACATTTATTATCTCAGTTTCTGTGGGTCAATAATGTAGGCACAACTTAGCTGGATCCAGGGTTTCTCACAAGACTGCAGTCAAGATGTCAGCTAAGGCTGCAGTCATCTCAAGGCTGCACTGAAGAGCATCTGCTGGCAGACTTGTTCAAATGGTTGTTGGCTGGTCCTCCATGGCTGTCAGCCCAAGCCAACAGTTCCCTGCCTTTGGGCCCCTCCACAGTGCTACTTGCTACTCACAATGTGACAGCTTGCTGCCCCCAGAGCAGGGACTCTGAGGGAAGAGGGGAGAGAAGGAGCAAGATGGAAGTCACAGTCTTTTTGTAACCTAATATTGGAAATGATAGCCCATCACTCTTATCATTTTGCTTAGAAGCAAGACAACAGTAGGTCCAGACCACATTCAAGGGGAAGAGGATCACACACGGGTATGAATGCCAGGAGGTGGGGATCACTGGGAGCCTTTTAAGAGGCTGCCCACCACATTACCCCAAATGAAGTAACTAGGAAGAGGTAAAAGTTTAAGTGCTAAATGACCAAATGTTAAAAATGTGTGTTATAAATAGTTCAAGATGGGCTGCAGCTGTCAGGCTTCATGAAGGAGGTGAGGAACCATGTAAGTAGGGTTGGAGCTGGCTAGGTATAGGATAGTGGTCTTCAAACTTTTTTGCTTGCCATAACCTCTAAAATAATTGAGAAAATATATGTATTCCCATATTTTAAAGCCAATAACTAAAAATATTATAAATTTAATAGCACAGGATTTAGTTTCTGTCATATTTTATGTATGCTTTAAATATATTTTCCATCAAAATCTATTTTTTTTTATTTCAGCATATTATGGGGGTACAGATGTTTAGGTTATGTATGTTGCCCTTGCCTCCCCACTCCCCCTCAAGTCCGAGTTTCAAGTGTGCCCATCCCTTGGATGGTGCACATTGCACTCTTTGTGTGTGCAAATACCCGGCCCCTCCTCCCCCCTCCTCCCTGCCCGATATCCAATAGATGTTATTCTTATATGTACACTTATATGTTGATCAGTTAATACCAATTTGATGGTGAGTACATGTGGTGCTTGTCTTTCCATTCTTGGGATACTTCACTTAGTAGAATGTGTTCCAACTCTATCCAGGAATATACAAGAGTCAAAACCTATTTTTACATTTAATTTTTGGAATTAGCTCATTTAATTTTTGGAAAATAAAACTTCATTGGCAAAGCTAATCCTCACTGTCGAATCTATCAGTCAAATCAGATTTAATTTCTATCAGAAAGTCTATATGACTTGTCTACATAATGCCCATAAAGTGAATCAAAAATTATTATTCACTGGACACATCACTTCTTATCAAATTCTTGTAACCTTCCCTCTGCTGGTTATATAATATCCCCCCAACAAGGCTCCAGAAAGCTGTTCCAACTTTGCCTGATTCTGGGAAATGACCCTGTGCGGTGAGTTCTGAAAATGATGAACCGGGACTTTCAGAGTAGTCAGCTGTGGGAGGAAGAGTAGGAGCCTCATGAGAAAAGACAAGAGGATTTAAGAAGACTGGGTGTTTAATTGAAGCAGAATTAGGTACAGTTATTTTGATTTTTATATTTTTATCTTTTATTTGGTCTGAGAAAGCGGAAAATTAGAGTGAAGAGATTACCTCGACCTAATTTTTGACACACCTCAAACTATAATTTAGGGGTGCTAACTACAAAATGCTGGTATTTAATGATTTAAAATAATTTTATAATTTGTAGACATCTGAAAAATTCCAGAAAATAAATCAGATGGTATGTAACAGCGACCGTGTGCTCAAAAGAAGTGCTGAAGGAAGCAACCCTCCTAAACCACTGAAAAAACTACGCTTTGATATTGAAGGATCAGATGAAGGAGATGGAAGGTAGGAACCCTTTTAGAATGTTTTCCGGTAGCTGAGCTGGCCATCTGGAGAACCCAGAATCTCAGCTCTGTTTCTGACTTACACCAATCCCTCCCATGTCAATTTTATTTGGAAGTTGTGAAAATGGCTCAAAATAATAGATATAACTGTAGCGCAAATTTAAAAGCACCATATAAACTGTATACCATTATCAAAATTCAATGAACATGAGATTAAAAATCTGTTTTACAAAGCTATTGATAAAAATTTTGTAGTTTTAACATTAGATTTTAAAATGATTACTCTTGAAAAATATTAACTGTTTTATAAGAACCAGTGAAAAAATATATTGCATCATAAATTTGTGACATTTATATTTAGATGGTTAGTTTATAAACCTTTGAAATTAAAAGTTGCACACTAAAATAGCATAAAATATGTCATTGAAAGTACCATAGCTAATTAGAAATTAGAGTTTTCCATTTATACATATAAATATGAAATACTTTGCATTTTTTTAAATCTGCAGTAAACATCTCCCAGGGGAGTCCAAATTTCAACAGAAACTGGCAGAAATGAGTAAGTACTTATCATTTCACCTATGTAAATGAAAGATTGTTCACACTGCAAAACGCCTTTTCACTTTATGAAAGAATACACACGTAATTCCTTCAATTAGCAGACTTATCCATTTAAAATATAATGCAATCAAGAATGTATTATTTACCTAAAAAAATTGGTGAATTAAATGTATGACAAAAAATGAAGGTCATCTTTACCCTAAAATCTTCCGTGCAGGAAAACCAAGAAGTGAGACATCGCGTGACCGCATTTTCAACACAACTGGCTGTGGTTAGGAAATACTTCAGGATAGCAGAACTGTAAGGAGGAACTCTTTAAGAGTGTTAGCAATAGGGAAAGGTTTTTTAAGAGTGTTAGCAATAGGGAAAGGTTTTTTGAGAGAGTGTCACTCTGTTGCCCTGGCTAGAGTGAGTGCTGTGGCATTAGCGTAGCTCACAGCAACCTCAAACTCCTGGGCTCAAGCGATCCTTCTGCCTCAGCCTCCCGAGTAGCTGGGACTACAGGCATGTGCCACCATGCCCGGCTAATTTTTTCTATATATTTTTAGTTGTCCAGATAATTTCTTTCTATTTTTTTAGTAGAGACAGGGTCTCACTCTTGCTCAGGCTGGTCTCGAACTCCTGAGCTCAAACAATCTGCCCGCCTCGGCCTCCCAGAGTGCTAGGATTACAGGCGTGAGCCACCGCACCCGGCCGGGAAAGGTTTTATAAACCTAACGTATATAAACTTCATCACCCTTATTTAAGGAATAATCTTTTATTCTGCTATTGTTGAACTTTCCTAATTTGCACATTTTTAAACTAATTTCAAACAAAAGTTTTCCATTACTGGAAATCAGAATGTTTATCAAGAATACCACATTATTTTGTAAAATATACAGAGTGATATAAATTTGGAATGTTAAAGCAAATGGAATTCTATTCAGGGCTACTTTGAGATTATAAAAAATTAATCCAAGGCATAGTAGATGGAAAGCACATTAGGAAAGGGATAAATGCTCACTAAGTGCTAATGGGGTTGTCTTAAGTAGCTGTGGTAGTGAGTGTAATATTTCCAGATCCATTAATAGGGAAAGGAACTGGGACTGGGAAAGAAGAAAAGGATTCAGGAGGTAAAGGTGTTACTGCTATCATTTCTAGGTCATAGGACACATCAATGAGAACAATACCAATTAAAATGTGATGAGAGGCTTTCTCATAACAGCCTTTGTACATACTTTGAAATGTAAAGTATTATAAAAAATGCTTTTGGATTTTTTTTGAAACCATTTTTTCTATGTATGTTATTTTGAGTATAATTGAAACTAAATGTACCAAAAATTTAAATTTTCTAGTTATAAATCTCTTTGGGAATTTTACATTGACTAATATATTCCTATTTTAAATAGTTGTGTCTTTGCCCCCCATACAAAAAAATGGATATGAAGATTACAACCAAAATCAGGCCTTGAAAACATGTGGAAGCATTTTGGAGCCCACAAATATGCATTTAAAAAGGAGCAGAAAGCTGTAAAAACATGCATATTTTCTTAGAGAAGAGTTCAGTTGCTATAGTCAGTACATTTCCCAGTGACGTGCTTGGCTATGATGGTGCGTTTCCTCTGCCGGGCCAAAGTTCAGGGCCTTTGTGCAGCTGGACAAGCAGCAAGAGTTTTAACCCCTGAGGCTAAGGCATTTTCCAGAATGCTTTTCAGCTTTCCTCAAAGAATTACATTCAGAAAACATCAACATACAATGCTGCATTGCCCAGAATAGAAGGGCAAGAAGGGGAGTGTTAGAACTATTGACTATTTTTCTTTTCCAAATATGAATATTCTTTGTGCTTCTTTATGAAGAGTTTCTGCCCACCTCTAAAATCAACTTAAGAATTCTTAAATAATTTAAAATTAATCATTCTAGTATTATCTATATATTGTAAATTAAAAATGTAAAATATCCATGCCTAATTTAAATGAGCTGTGAGTTGATGTCTCTGTATTACCTGCAAGGCATCTCTGAAAACAAAGGAATCAGTGCCTAGCTGGGGAAAGAACACACCACTCACTCTGGCAGATCCAGTCTGGACCAGCCCAGGATTCTACTCTGCTCAAGTGTAGGCCAGACTCAACCTCATCATCTCTAGAACAGTGGTCTACAAAGTGGGGCATACCTGGGAGTGGGCAAGACCATCTAAGTACGTAAAATATTAGAAGTTCTATTTATCTCATCTCTTTTTAATGTTTGTTTGGGTATGTGTTTTATAATTTATATACACATACTACATCATACATAAATATATAACATATTTTCATGGTACATGCTCAGAAAAACTTTACTGACAGGGATATATAATTCTTAAAAATTTGGAGATTGGCCGGGCGCGGTGGCTCACGCCTGTAATCCTAGCACTCTGGGAGGCCGAGGCGGGTGGATTGTTTGAGCTCAGGAGTTCGAGACCAGGCTGAGCAAGAGCGAGACCCCATCTCTACCAAAAATAGAAAGAAATTAATTGGACAGCTAAAAATATATACAGAAAAAATTAGCCGGGCATGGTGGCGCATGCCTGTAGTCCCAGCTACTTGGGAGGCCGAGGCAGTAGGATTGCTTGAGCCCAGGAGTTTGAGGTTGCTGTGAGCAAGGCTGACACCACGACACTCTAGCCAGGGCAACATAGTGAGATTCTGTCGCAAAAAAAAAAAAAAAAAAAATTGGAGACCATTGCTTTTGCAGGGTCCTGAGCTCCACCGATTTGACGTAGACATAGTATGTATGACAGCCCTTGCCAACTTACCCAGCACCGTCGGTGCTATTAACAGTTCTTCATCCTTTTTCCAGCATCGACTCGAACACGAATGCAAAAGCAGAAAATGAATGATAGCATGGATACTTCAAACAAAGAAGAAAAATGAGGATCTCAGGACTTTGGCGGACACTGTGTGCACCTCTAGCTTCACTGTCTCTCACGGATGTGACTGTGTAACTCTCCCAGGTTGTTTACAGCCACGTTTAATAGCTTCAGCTCTTTTTGTAGATATAAAATGTGCAGATGCAATTGTGCAGGTGATTTTTAAGCCACTTGCAGTGTTGTAGACATTGTTATTATACAAGATTGAAAATCTTGTGTAAATCCTGCCATTTAAAACGCTGTAGCAGGTTGTTTCCATTTCCGGTGTAAAATTGCTGTGTTTGATGATGAATAGGGAGGATGCCCTGGAGTGGGCGTCCTAACAACCCGTGCCTGTCTGACTACTTCTGTTGTAGCGTCTATGTGATGTCTGCTCTTGTTTTTATTAATTTATATGTATATTTTTTTTAATTTAACATGAATACCCTAGAAATTGTGTCCTGTCTTCCAAATGCAATTTAACTGCCCATTTATCCAAATTATCCTGAACTCTTCTGCTAATCCAGATATTACTAGAAACTAGAAAAAAATTACTAATTTTTACACATTAGATTTTATTTTACTATTGGAATCTGATGTACTATGTGCTTGTTTTATAAATTTTAGCTTTCAAATACAAGCAAAGTATAAACATGATACTGTCATACTACTGACAAAGATTTCGTACCTCAGAACTTGTAAGAATTTCTTCTTTCCTTCATTCAGCTCATGCTTTGAAATGAGGATTATTGGTAGTACTCTTGGTTTTTATATCATTCAGATCACTGAATTTATAAAGTACCCATCTGGTACTTGAAAAAGTAAAGTGGCCAGATCTCTGCTGTAGAGGACCCTAATACAGTATATCCCAAGTGCACTTTCTAATGTTTCTGGGTCCTCAAGAATCAAGATGCAAATTAATTAATCTCCATAAACAGACTGTTAACTATAGGAGCCTTAATTTTTTTTTTTTTCTTAGAGATTTGTCTAATTGCATCTCAACAATTATTCTGCCCTCCTAAATTTGGGAAGGTTTGTTTCCTCTGGAATGGTACATGTCTTCCCTGTATCTTTTGAACTGGCAATTGTCTATTTATCTTTTTTTTTTTTTTTTAAGTCAGCATGGTCTAACACTGGCACATTCAAAGCCACATTATTTCTAGTCCAAAATTTCAAGTAATCAAAGGTCTTTTTGTGGGTTAGGCATTAATGTTTCTCTCTGATTTTGTGCAAAAGCTTCAAAGGAAAATAGCTGCATTAGAAAAAGAGGCGCTTCCCCTCCCACCCCCCCCACACCAAAAGGTGTATTTAAACTATCTTGTGTGATTAACTTATTTAGAGATGGTATAATTTAAAATAGGTGGTATTTAAGGTAGCATTAGCTAGCTTTTAAGAAAATCACTTTGTCTAAACTCAGAATTCTTTTTAAAAAGAACTCTGGTCTTATTTTGTTAGAAAACAATTTTATTTTGTGCTCAATTAAGTTTCAAACTTACTATTTTGACAGTTATCTTAACAATGGCACTAGAAAGCATTACCCCATTCTCGTTAATTTCTGCATGAATATCATACAAATCAGTTAGTTTTTTAGGTCAGGGGCTTACTATATTTCTGAGTCTTTTGCTGATAAGTTTACATTAGAATTAGTGCCAGAATTTTAGAAACTTCAGAGATCGTGTATTGAGATTTCTTAAATAAGGCTTCAGATATTGCTTTATTGCTTTTTTTGTATTGGTTAAAACTGTACATTTAAAATTGCTATGTTACTATTTTCTACAATTAATAGTTTGTCTATTTTAAAATAAATTAGTTGTTAAGAGTCTTAATGGTCTGATGTGGTCTTTGTATGACGTGCACTAATGTTCTCTTCTGTACGTGTGCTCTCTCCTAGTACCTCCTCATTCTTAGCCTTTAATGAGCTACATATGCTAAGGATTCCCAAACTTTTTCTCCAGCCCTGACCTCCTCACAGAAGACGAAGCTCTCATAGCTAACAGAACCCTCGATTCCCATTCCCCCTCCCCCAATTTCTCAAAATATAAACCCAAAACCAAACAAACAAAAATATCTTGTTTCTACCCTGGTCTTTCCCCACTTTACTAAATACTTACCAAGCCAAAAACTTGAGAGTCATCTATTAACTCTTGTCTGGACCACTGCTAAAGACTTCTAACTAGCGTCTCCCTGTTCCCTCCCTTTCCTCTTTACCATTCAGCTCCCTAAAGAGCAAAAATGATGGTATAAAAATGTAAATTGAGTCACATTGCTTCTCTACTTGAAGTACTGTATTCAAACTCCTGATCAGGCACTATTAAGCCCCTAGGGATTTCCCCATCCTCACTGTGTAGGACTTTCTCCTTGTTCATTATGCTTTAACCACAACGACCTTTTGCTTTAAAATGCCAAGGCTTTTCCTACACCTCAGGCTTTTATTTATATTTGCTGATCCTTCTGCCTGGAATGCTTTTTCCCCAGAGTTTGCATAGCTATTTCCTTCCTATCTTTCAGGGCTCAGCTCAGAGGACTTCCTTGGCCACCAAGCTAAAATCATCACTCTGTATTGTGTCACTGACCTTAAAAATTGTAACAGCATTTATCACTGTTTCTTTCTCACCATCTGAAATTGGCAAGAAGCAAGTCAAAGAAGACAATCTCCCCATCCCTATACACTCCCCAACCCAGCATATACATCAACCTAGTTAATCTTATTTACTACTATAGCTCTAGGACCTAGAAAGCCCATATGTAGGGGAAAAATGCAGAATGTGTCAGGTTTCAGTCTGAAATGTCAGCTCTTGGCATGCCCATGGCCAAAGAATGACCAGATGCACCAAAGTTAGGCAAGCACAAAAATGAGGTTTGTTGAGGAGAGAAAGATAGGATTATAGGGCAAGAGCAAGATACAGGTTTACAGAGCATGATACATACGCCACAGAAGACGACTGGACCCACTGTTGCAGCAAAGGGAGAGCTAAAGGAAGGGTGCAAAAAGGGACTGGTTAGGTTCTACGTCTTCTTTTACAGTGCCCAGATAGGGACCTCCCTCATGGTTCAGATGTCACCATGGAACCACCTTGGACAGTTAGGAGCTGCATGACCTGAGCCTTACTGTACATGCAGATCTCCCATGAGCCTCTGTGAAAGCCCACTGGGGTGGGAAGTGAACAGCAGCACCCACTTCAGTCCCTAGGAGACCCAGAATCCCTCACTATCTACCTAACAAATATTTTCCATATTTTTCCAAGTTTGTGGAAAGAATACTCTCTTGCTCTTTTAAAATACCACGTACCATATTCCAGGCACAGTTCTAAATGCTAGAGATACAACAATGAGTAAATAAAACTAACATCCTCATCGTTGTGGAACTTACCTTCTGGTGTTAGGCCGAGAGCAAACGAAGGAACGAACTCATGAGGAATACACAGTGCGTGGGATTGCATTAAGTACTGTCGACAAAAGGCAGGGAGGAAGACAGAGCTGGTAGGGAAAGGAGGTTTAAAATTTCAGAGTGGTCAGGCAAAGACTCACCGAGGTGATACCCGCGTAAAAACCTGCAGGAGATGCGAGTGAGCCATACAGGAGTCAGACACTCTACAGAGAGGAAAAGCCCGTGCTCTGAGGTAGGTTTGAAGAACAATAAGGTCATAATAAGAGGGGAAGCAAGTATCTCTCTTCATCCAGTGCAAAGTGCACATTAAAGGCCTCTCCTAAACATACTTGATTTACATTAATATTACAAGTCTAGAATCCCTTATCTGCAATTCTGAAATCTTTCAAAACCAAGTGGTTCTCTGTGTTTAGTGCCAAAACTCACATGGCATCAAAACCATATCTAAACTGGCATAAAGCTACTTACAGTCTTCACCCTACTTACTGGGAATATTCTTGTTGCTTCACTGCAGAAATACTAATATGTTTGATTATTGGGAGCTAACCCACTTAGGTGTCTTGATTATGTGATATATGTGCCATATTATCATTTAATTCCAAAAAAAAAATACAAAGCTCATCTGGCAATAAGGGATTATCTTGAGTTTATACGATTTCTCAAAAACAGGGTGGCTAATGAAATTCTTTCCCTCTGGGACAGCAGCATGTTTGTTGCTGAAGGAAGAAAGGCAAATCCAGAGGCCAGAGCAGGAGAAGCAGCACGCGTACCTCGGCAGGCTGTATTTACGTTGCGTGTGGATGGAGATCTTAAATGAAATGTGGTCTCTCGGGTCAAGTCAAAATAAAATCAAGTGACATTAAAAATTTTTAGTTTGGATGACAAAGAATTGATCACTTCTGGAGATTAGTGTTCCAATGAATAAATGTCCATTATAATAAAAGGGACAAGTTCAAATTCATATATTTTCTTTTTATTACAGGTTTCTGGGCAAATGGTGGAGGTGGAGAACCTACATACTAGTTCCGTTATAATCTGGATGATTTTATAGAAACTTGCTTTCAGAAGCATATTTTTGTTCCTCATTTTGGGCCAGTACTGTGTAGACAGCATGGGTAAAGCTTCAGAATTTTTCTTTGGACTACTAGATATTTCAGAGAACAATTCAAACTTTACCTCTAGAAATAATAAATTTCTACCACAGGCATAGCTTCTTAAATACAAATATGTTTAACAGTGACACCGTATAATGTCTATACGGAATTAAAACATTTTTAATTTGAAGCTGGGATAAGTCATCCATTCTCATACACCCTTTTTGATGTCCATTATTTTGGGACTATACTTATATATTAGTATTCACATATGTGATGACAATTTAATATGAAAGATTGAATTTATGGCACGGACCAGCCTCAGTTACTTCATAAATAGTAAATGTTACAATTTTTAACTGAATTTACGAGAAAATTGGTTAGGTTTGTGTTTCAGTGCTTTGGTAAAGACAATTAAAAATAACAGTAGGGGTATGATTTTCCCTTTCTCTTCTCAACAATTCTACAACTCACTTGTTATAACAGAAGGGGAAGGGCTAACAAACTAGACGAGATTATATAGTTTGTAATTCCTTCTTTTTGTTATTCCTAGTTAAGGAAGCCTCTAAATAAAACTCTCCATGTTCTGGTCCAGAATGACTGGCAATTTACAGTAGCTTTAAGCTGAAGAACATATTTAACATTCTTAACCTTTATTTTTCAAAACTAGTTAAATGGCATCTTCACCAACCTCTATCGGCAGACGAAGACATTTCTTTGTTCCTATAAAATCCTAAACTTTCTCTGTGTTAAGTGAGGGTAAAATTATATGGCAAGCACTAAAACATTGACTTCCTTGTGGGAGCAAGAAAGGAAACAAAACCTAAGCATAGAAAATCTAAGATAAATTTATGTCAAAGAAAGGATCCATTACTTTCTGCTATAGCATCATTATGAAAATGTACCTTTTTTCTCACATACTGCTAATAAACAGCAGGATTTTCTGAGACTTTACAATCACTCATCCGTTAGAAAAAAGTAAAAGGAAATCTTTTTCCTTCCCCTAGGAATGTCAATGGTAAGCCTATCCTCAAACACTAGAGAGAAAGCTTGTTTTTTCAGATAGATGTATTCACACCCAGGACTCATCTGTCATCTCTCAAACTGGTCTAAAATTAGCTCTTCCTTATTGGTTGGAGTCACATGTTTTAAGGGCAAAACCACTGATCTTATCCCTGGCTAAACATCACAGTCATCTGTGGAACTTTTTAAATATACTGGATTAGAATCCCCAAGTCTATATTCTGTAAAAGCCCCACAGATTATTCTGCTGTGCCCATGCATAGGAACACTGAGATACGTAATAGTGCAAGCCTACACATAATGGAGCTTAGACAGAAAATCTGTGTCAAAGTCCAGAGTAAAAACTCACACACCGGGAGTTTGCCTATGACCCACTGTGGAGTCTGGTAAAGGATAGTCCATTTTTCATCTTTAAGTAAATGTATCTGTTCCCCTTTGAATGTTTCAATTTTTGTATGAAATGAGTTCATAAAAGAAAAAGGAATGGAGAAGCTTCAGAAGACTGTCAGAAATAGACAAGGAAAAGGAAAACAAGGTTGGGAGTCGCTGTGAACTCATAAAAGCCCAGTTAGTTACAGCTAGCCTAGGAGGGTGAGGAAGAAAGATGAAGGAAAGACAGACGGTGGTTGTCTAACTGCCAGAACTGATAGCCACAGGTGCTCCCCATGTCTGAATGTTTCTTTGCTAGATAATATAGCAAACCTATCAATGAAAATAAATGGTATATGGCTACTTTTAAAATACAAACAAGGGATTATATAGTTCCAAAAATAGGATTCTGATTTGGAACTAGAGGATGCATCTGGTGAGGGCCTCGGGCTGCTTCAACTCACGGTGGAAATCGGAAAGGAAGAGGGTGTGTACAAAGAGATCACATAGTGAGAGGAAGCAAGAGAGAGAAACCAAGGAAGCCAAACTCGCTTTTATAGCAACAACCCACTCAGGTAAGTAGCCAGTCCTGCCAGAGACAATCTATTGATGAGGGATCTGCCCCGTGACCCAAATGCCTCCCCCATAGGCTCCACCTCCCAACACCACCACATGGGGGGTCCGATTTCAACACGAGTTTTGGCAGGGACAAACCACATCCGAATCATAGCAGAAACTAAACTTTCACAAAGTAACCTCATCAAGAGAATGAAAAGATAAGCCACAGACTGGGAGAAAACATTTGCAAAAGACACCATTGATAAAGGACTGTTTATCCAAAATATACAAAGAACTCTTAAAACTCAATAAAAAAAACAATCAACTTGATTAAAAAATGGCTGAAGATCTGAACAGACCCCTCATCAAAGACGATACAGAGCAAATAAGCATATGCAAAGATGTTCCACATCTTATGTCACCAATTAAAACAACGGATTACCTCTAAACAGCTGTTAGAATGGCCAAAATCGGGAACACCGACAACTCTAAATACTGACGAGGCTGTGAAGCAACCAGAACTTTCTTTCCTTGGTGGTGGGAATGAAAAATGATGCATCCACTCTGGAAGACAGTTTGGCAGTTTCCTATGAAACTAAATATTCTCTTACCACATGATCCACTGATCACATTCCTTGGTATTTACCCAAAGGATTTGAAAACTTACATCCACACAAAAACCCATACACAGATATTATATAGTAGCTTTAGTCACAATTGCCAAAGCTTGGAAGCAACCAAGATGTCCTTCAATAGGTACATGGATAAACTGTGGCACACCCAGACAATGGAATATTATTCAGCACTTAAAAAAAAAACAAAACAATCAAGCCATGAAAAGACATGGAAGAAACTTAAATGCAGATCATTAAATGAAAGCAGCCAGTCTGAAAAGGCTACATACTGCATGATTCCAACTATATGGCGCTGTGGAAAAAGTAAAACTATGAAGACAGTGAAAAGATCAGTGGCTGCGAGGAGTCAGAGGGGAAGGAGGGAGGGAGGAACAGGCAGAGCACAGAGGACGTTTAGGGTGGTGAAACTAATCTGTATGATACTGTAATGATGGACACATCATTCTATGTTTGTCCAAACCCATAAAATACACATCATCAAGAGTGAACCCTTATGTAAGAATAAACTATGCACTGTGGGTGATAATGATGTATCAGTGTAGGTTCATCAGTTGTAACAAATGTCCCCCTCTGGTAGGGGACGCTGACTGTAGGGGAAGCTGTGCACATGTGGGGGCAGGAGGCATGTGGGAAATCTCTGTACTTTCCTCTCGTTTTGCTGGGAACACCTAAAACTGCTCTAAAAAAATTAAGTTTTCAAAAAAAAAAATTGACCTCACCAGTAATGAGCAGTCGAAGGCAATAATATGAATAGTAATGAGGTTGTTTATAAGCCATTTATGCTTTAGCGTGGACTTTGCTATGAGAACTTATTTTTCAAAGCAGTCACTCACATAAGAGTATAATATATCAAAGATTTATGTACATCTAAGATGCGTGAGATTATATAATTTTGTTCCTTAGCGATTAAAAAACAACACATTTGTTCTATTATCTATAAATGAGCACTTTAGTATCAAACAGTTCAGCATCAGAACACGATTTCTAATTCCAAAAAGGTTTTCTTTACATAATAGCATATTGTGAGATACATATTAGAGGAGTCTGATACTACGTCCCATTCCAGGTTCTCTTGTGCAATTGGGTAACTTGTTTTGATCTAAAAAGTATAAATTTATCTCATTTTTGTTAATGCTGTCCATGAAACGTAAGCATTAGTTCCTTTTCAGCTAGTACTTCATGATTTTACTAGTGCCAGGTTGAGACCTGTTTTACAGTGACATGAAAGTCAACTATAAGGAAAACATAATCATTTTTATTTATGGAGGCGAATCCCTCTGAACACAAACAAAAGCAAAGGCCCTTATGTGATTAGGTGAGGCAGATCAACCCAGGAATCTCATTTAAAGATAATACTTCATATTCACTAATCCCACGTGAGAAATCAATGACTCAGAATAAATAAAATTAGCCCTTGGACAATTTAATTGCCAAGGCCTTTTGTGAATTCTAATTAATGCTCTAAATTAGCCACTATTTCTCAGAACAGTGTACCAGAAGAATATGGACCTTAATAATCACGGGCTGTTTTAAATTTATTTTGTGTAAGTTATTCCTTCATCCAGCATTCCATGAGTAAAGCTGTTCTCAGGACATATTATAATAAATTAATCGAGTGCCTACCATATGCAAGGCACTGCGCTAGATGCTGAAAGTGTGGTAGGAACGGCATTCCTTGTCAAGCTATCTACGTGACATCAGCCAGCCGCATAACGGAACATTTGGGCCAGAACAGCATGTACCAGTGTACCTAAGGCGTCCAACTTAAAATGACTCAAAAGAGGATATGATAAATATATTAACAATAAGATATTCTAATTTTTCCCCTCGATCTTAGTCACATTCGATCAGCGCATTTGATACTTTCTGTGTAACTTTGGATGTAGGCAGATGAAAAAGACTCACCACCGTCCTTCTTTTGACAGACACAAGTACTCAGCCAAATGTAGCTCATACATACTATTAATTAGAGAGAAGTTATTTATCTCTGGCTTTTGCAGGGGTGGGATCAATTTTTAAAGGCTCCAGCTCTGCTTGCTTTGCTGATAAAGTTCTTCAGGAGATCATGGTCCATTTCTGCAAAGCCTGAAGTTTGTGTTACTACAGTCAGATGGTTTATGCAAAACCTGAAGCAGAATTCTTCTAAATCCTAGGAACAATAACAACAACAAAAATCATTTAACAAATTTATATTTCCCAATGCAATGCAACGTAACATGAAAATTCCTAAAACCAGTAAAAAAGATTTGATGGCCAAGAGGAGGAAATGTTGGTACAGCAACACCTATGAATACTTATAAAAACCATATAACTAATATGAATCCATGCTTGTAAACATTTAAATAATGCAGTAAAACATTCAAGTTTCTCCACACCGACCAATGTAAAGAAAGAATCTGACATTCTTCTTCCCAGAGATAGGCACCTAAGTGTATGAATTCTTTGGTACCTTTTCATCTAGCGACAGTACTTGTATTGTTCATTCCACTTTCAATATTTGTTAAAAGCCCGACGCTCCCCTCTATATTTATATTGGGTGTTTTAAATATTTCTGCCTGTAAACAGTTTATGGAAGAAAGGGTAAGCCATAAAAATAGTAATGCTAAAAACTGCTTCTCTTAAGTTCTTAATAGGCCACTGCTTTTTTTCCTTTGCAAAAAGACAAGGGATGGGATGGATGGACGTCGCCACGCTACACACACCTTCAATGATCTTAACCGGGAAGATGCTTTGAAGAAATCATGACTTTCGAGGTTCTCTGGTAAGAGAAATCCATCAGGTTTGTGTTTTCTGGCTTACTGAAATGTACTCTGGGCCAAAGAATGACCTTGTAGTAATTCTCTTGATTAGAACTGTAAACTTGAGAATCAGAATGAAGGCGGTGAGATGCGTTTTTGGCCCCCAGGGAAAAGTGAGGCGAGCCTGCCTGGACCTCCAATGTGCCTCAGACCCTGGCCACGCCATCAACCCGGGACAAGACGCTGCTAGGTGGTGGGTGGTCAGTTTTTAAACTTTCATCTCTATGTCACTAAAGGTAATTTATAAAAAATAAAGCCCCAAATAATTTCCAAGCAATTACATATGCACATTGTACACTATTATTTTCCTCTTTACACATATAAATTATAGCAAATGCTAAAGATGAAAATATATACTGAAAAATTAGCAATACTAATAGTCATGCCAATGTACCCACAAACCTATAGTACATTTCCTTTTAAGAAAAGAAACACTAGGAAAAACCTGTTTATCTCATCCCTGAACACACCTGGGAAGGCTGCTAGGGTCACTCCAGCAGTATGACATATCTCAGTCCCAGGTAAGGCCTCAGCGATAAAGGAAAATTCACACACCTACTTGGTATCTTCACATGTTACTATACATAAAATGTGCTTCATTAATATACATTGAATATCCCAGTATCCATTTAAAATGATGTGCTCTTGCTTAAATTTTTAGAAATGACATTTTTGCCTACAGCACACGAAAGTGAAACAAGACAGAGATGCATCTCTCTGGCTGAATTCTGCGAAGAGGAATGGAAAAATTCAGACCTGCACCACACATGTTAAAGTATGTCTGGAGTTAGGTGGCCAGGCAGTGTGAAGTCCCATGGATCTGGATGGCATCAGTAAAATTGCTAATGAATGGGGGAACAAAAGGACCCTTGGATCCGCCTTCCTTTACTTTTGGAGAATGGGAGTTTCTGATAATTATTCAATAAGGACAGGACTTGCAAAGAGTTCCTGTGATTCTAAGAATTCGTTAAATTGACACAGGGTGGTACCGGTTGTAAGGGAATTTTGTCTATATAAAACAAGGCCCTCATTTTTCGGTAAAAGAATTGTAGTCTACTTTAAATGCTACTACTTTGTAAGGCTGGCGCCCTTCATTCTGTCCTGCAGTCCAACCACATTTCCGTAATTCCTTCATTCTCCTACAGGACTCTCATACTTTCTCCCTTATGCCCAACGCCACCTCTGTCATCCTCATTCTAAGCGAACATGATTTCCTACTTCACTGAGAAAACAGAATTGCTCGGATGGAACCTTGACACTCTCTTCCCACCGTACCTCCACGCATAGCTGCCTGTAGACGCCATCTACTCTGGGTGATGGCCCCTGACCCTGTGTAAGGCAGGTCCCCTTGCCCTGTCACCTACATCCTGTTGCTTCTCCTATTCAGGAACCCGACTCTAGGAACTGTCCCTGCACCACTTGTTCCCCTTACCAAATCATCTGCATCTCTAGACAAACGTGCTTCAATTTCTTTCATCTTAAAAAAGTAAAACATATGTTTTACCTCAAATGCCCCGCCAATCTCTTTCTCTTTCTGTCTTTACAGTAAAGTTATCAGAAAACGTTGTCTCTGTTCCCCATCATCAATTTCCCTACGGAAGCCACCTGCCACGGTCACCTGTGGTGGTCTCGTGCCCAGACCCACTGGCAGTCGGCGCCGCCCTGGCCCCCTAATTGACATCTGTCGTGATGGAAGATTCTTCCTTCCTGAAACGCTTTCCTTCCCGGCTGCCAGGATACAGTCTCCTGGTCTTTCTTCTCTTACCTTGTTGCTTGTAGTCTCCTTATCTCCTTGGCCTCCGAGCATGGAGTACCCAGAACTTAATCCTCAAACCTGCTGCCACATGTCACAGTCTCACAGCTTTAAATACAATGAGTTTCTTTATGAGCTCCAGACTCGCTTATCCAATTTGCTCATTAGACATTTTCATTTGGACATTTCATAGACATTGCATGCTTAACATAATCAAAACCAAATTCCTGATATGTCTCCCAAAATGCTGCTCCTCCCACTCTATCTCAGTAAATGCCAATTTTATCCTTTCATGACCCCAAACCTTGGAGTCATCCCAAGTCTTCTTTTATTTTTCCCCTCTCTCCACATGGGATCCATCGGCAAATCCCACTGGCTCAACTTTCAAAATACATTCAAAATCCAACCACAGCTAATAACTTGGACCAATCCGCCATCACCACCTACTGGATTATACCGCCTCCTAACTAACCGCCCTCTGTGCCCCCAGACACTCCTCTCAGCACAGCAGCCAGAGCGATCCCCTGCACGTGCAGGGCGGATTGTATGTGCTCCACTGCCAACCCTCCCGGCCTGCTCACATCAGAGCTCTGTCCCTGACGCCGCCCAGTGGGCTCTGCTGGCCCCGGCCCCCTGCCCCACACCATCTCCCTGCCTTCCTCTGCTCCCTCCACCCCCATCCTGCTGTTCCTCCCACACACCACCTGCACCTCCCTGAGGCTTTGCTAAGTCACCTCCAGTGACTCCTTCCATCCCTGACACTATTTAAAATTCCAACTTTAATCTCAGCCTGGTACTCCCCATCTCTCCTCCTGAGCTTATTTTTCTGTATCATTATCACCATCTGACATGCTATATAGTGTATTCATTCATTTCTTGCCCATCTCCTCTCCTCACCAGAAAGTTCCACAAGGGCAGAGACTTTGCCCTGTTTTGTTCACTTGCAGTAACCCTGGTGCTTAGGACAGTGCAGGCACAAAATAGGCCCTCAGTGAATATTTGCTGAATCAGTAACTGAACACTTTTGATTTTAAAATACAGGGGCCAACAGAGGACTGTAGTTACATATGTGGTTGTGAAGTTTGTCCAATCTTGGATTGCCTTTCTGGTTTTGCAATGTACTCATTGACTGAGATTACTTAATCTGAGCTTCAGTTTCCTCATTTGTAAATTGGAACTTATAATAACAACAATGCCTATGTCTTATGAGGTTGTTCTGAGAAGTAAATGAGACGTGAACTGTGCTTAGTGTACTCCCTGCCTCCTAGTAATTATGGACTAAGGGGCAGACTAGTATGAGGGATAATTTGCTGAAAAAGCCCATTTCTTATTTGATTATTTGAGTCAGCCAAATCAAATATGCCATTCTTTATTTATAAAAACTTTTATAGTAAGTACACATATAGCCTATTTTACTTGTAATCTATTCACTTAGGTACAACAATTAGCTGGACAGGCTGTAGTGAAGTAGTGTGTCTCTACAGGCAGAGTTGAACGATCATCACACAAACACTAAGCACCTACTATGTGTCAGAAACGCTCCTAGGCATGGGGACGTGGCTGTGAGCAGTGCAAAGTCCCTGCCAACCCTCAAGGAGCTTACTTTCTAGGAAACAGAGAGCTGGAAGGTAACCATACGAATAATTTACATAAATAGGGAGTATGAAAGAGTCTCAGAAATCAAGCCTGGTTCGGTTGCAAACACCACGTGCAACCACCTGCACCTCTGAACTGGCCCTCCAGAGTCCAGTGTCATCACCGTGGCTCTAAAGGACAAACTACAGGACAGCACATAGATTTTCTTTGGCCATGGAGCATTTTTCGAGTGCCCAATATATAATATTACCTTGATATAAGACAAACATTTCCTGTGTTTTTAAATATCAATGTTTCAAAGGATAAAATTTTCAAATGAAAAAAAAAAATCTAGATTTCAAGTATTTAGAGATAAATACATAATGTGACTTTGAAGAAAAGTCAGAAGCTGCTGAAGGAAAGTGCTAACGTTCTGGTTGATAAGTCATTTCCTTCCTCACACTTTTTGTACTTTCTAAATTTTCTTTAATAAGCATATTATTATTTGCAGAAGCAGAAAAAAAGTTATAACCTTTTTTCCACTAAAATGTCCCTGTTTTTTGACCAAAGGAGAGGATATCCTTATGCCAAAAGGAAATCGACTCTAAGAAGTTATGGCCTGTTTCCTAAAGATTGAGTCCTAGGATGGGTTTTCTTTCCTTTCTTTATTATCATAACAATGCATGGTCACTATAAAAAGGTCAGAAAAAAACAAGCGAAGAGAAGGAAATAAAAATCTTCCATACCCTCACCATCCCATGATAACCACTGACTATATTCTTCAGCCTTTTTTTCTATGTAGATAATGAATTTCAGTCTTATTCAACTATCTATACTTCTTTAAAAAAAAATAAAAAGAACAGGATCATAGTCCCTCACTTAGTGATATACCTTGAACAGCTGCATAACTTCACGGTATTAACATTTTAGAAACAATCATACACTGTTCACACTGACCTAATTTTTCAAAATTATAAACTGCAGCAGTAAACATCTCTGAAGCTAAATCTCTGTCCAAATCCATGATTACCTGAGATAAATTCCTAAGTGAATTCTTTAAAGAATCACATCTTCAAGGCTTTTAATACACATGATACCAGCTGCCCCCAGAAAGACTGTCCCAACCTGCACCCTCATCAGTTTAGGAAAACACCATTTTTCTGAGCCTGTATTATGTTTAAAAACATCTTTCCCAGTTTGACAGGAGAATAATCATACCTTGTTTTCATTTATATTTCTCATTTATGTTTTTCATCTCTTCATAGAGCTATTTGTTCTTTGATCCATTTTTTTTCAGCCAAACTGCTCATAATTTTTTGTTTTTTACTATGGTAAACTTGCTTCATTATACATAGTAAATATTTTCCCAGTGTATCATTACTTTCCAATTTTCCCTGAGACGTTTTTTGATGTATGAAAGTTTTTTTTAATGTTTTGAAAACAAATCTGTCCATTCTTCCCTTCATGGTGTCTGCCTGTGAAGTACACCCCAGTGTTATATAAATATTTACTTATATTTCATCTAGTACTTTTGTAACTTTATTTTTTTTTTTTTTTACATTAAATCTTTAAGCTACCTAGAGTTTATTTTAGTTTGAGACATGAGGCAGGCCCCTAACTTCGGTTCTTCCAGAAGGCCCGCGCTGGAAGAATGCTTCTCTTACCTGGGCGTCGTATTTCACAGCAGCGGAGAGCAGAGCGATTGCATTCTCCTCGCAGATTCCCTGTTTGATCGTTTGTTGGCAGAGCTTTTTCAAACGATTTTCTCTATAAAACGTAGCCAAGTCTAGCAATCCTGGTGGAAAAAGATGTTTATTAGGGGGAGTGATTTCAAGAATCCTGATTTAAACTCACTCAGCCCTTCAGAGATGATTTAGATATTATTATAAATATAATCCTCAGTGAAGCGCCGCGTAAGTGAAGACTTCTGCCGACTCATATTTGCACGTGTGGCTCTACTCAAGAAGGTAGCCAAGCGGAGCAAACACAAAAACCAGGAGCACAGAGAGAATGGGTTTAATGTTTTTTTCCTAATCGCCCCTCCCACCGCATTCTCAACACCTTTCCTGGGCCGTTCCGGGAGCAGACACTCATGCTGCAACGGTGCCCATGTGGAAAAGAAAACCCTTTCCTGGACACGTGTCTGCCTCCTGTTACCCCAATCCCATTTCTCTGCTCCTCTCCCCGGCAGAACGCCTAGAGAGAGCCCTCTGTATCTGCTGTCTCCGCTTCCCACCTCCCATCCTGACCTCAAGCCAGCCCAGGCAGAACCCCATCCCCACTGCTCACCACGCCACGCCTGTGGTTGTCACGGAATGGCTTCCATGGTGCCAAATCCAAGGTCTATTCCCTGCTTTCCTCTCACTTAACGTTTAACACAGAACGTGATGGGTTGACCATGCTCTGCTTGGAACACTTTGCTCCTTGCTTGCGGTTTTCTTCTCCTTAATTAGCTGCTCCTCAGTTCTCGGGGCTGGACCGTGTCTCCTGACTTCCACACGTTCCTCCCAGCGCCCCTCACACGCCTATTCCACTGACTTCCCTGAGCGCACTCCGGCCTGGTTTTAAGCACCGTCTATACAGGATGATGGTCCCTGTCACAGCACCTGCATCCACTTTCAAGTAATTCCCGTAGCCACGGATACACATATGCAAGTAATTTAACTCTGCCCCGAGGGACGATAGGAAGCACTCTAACAGGAGTGGTCAATCAGCATTTGGAAGGTGCTGTTTGTTTTCAGATATTGCTATTTGACTCTTCATTAGAGACTTGATTAGCATAAAGAACGTCAGAACCGGTTTGTCACTGGTAAAACAGTGGTGTTGAGGACGTGTGGCTTGGCCAGGAACACTGTGAGTCCTCCGCCCTTGCAAGAACGGGGCCCCGGCATCGAGAGCTCAGTAGGCCCACGCTGTTGGCAGCGGTACGCGTGCTAGGTCTGCATGCAGCCCCCAGTGCCACCTGATCAGAGGTTAAGCCGAATCCCGCTACTAGAATATTGTAACATCCACCTCAAGCTAACCTTCCGTGCAAGGCACTTGCAATAGCGTGCCTAAAGGACAGAGAGATGGGATTTCATCCATCTTACCCTATTAATTGTTTCTGTGTCTGCTAATAAATTTTGTACATGTAACAGAATTCGATTGGAAACTTGCTTTCATTATAATATCACAAATATTACCAAAGTTATGAAAGAAAGACCTATGGCCTTTTGAAGAATAATGAAATCTTGAGAGTTGTAACGGCTTAATTGTTCTCAACAGCCCCAAACGCTCCAGAGCTTCGCTCTCACGCATGCAGCACTGCCCTAAGAGAGGACCCTGCTTCCTGCAGGCGCACCCTCTCCACAGGGCGGCCAAGGGGCCATGTGTCTCCTTCTAGACCACACCTTGGGTACCTGGGGTTCCCTGAGGGCACGTGTGCATTTCCTCCCTCTGACAGACAGACAATGTGCGGACCCCTGGCCCCGGGGGGTAGCCCGGGCTGGGGGTGGATGGAGCTTGGACGTGCAGACTGGCGTGCCTGCACAGTCCTCGAGACGCAGAATGGAGCCACAAGCTGGAGGCCAGGGGTCTGTCCTTCCTGTGCCACTGGGTTCTAGCACAGAACTCCAAGGAGTCCTGAAACTCTAAATTCCAACTAAAACGCAAACCTGGCCTTTCAGGTTTGAAGTGCATTTTTCAAGGTTGGCAGATTGAACGTACTTTATCTGAAGTTTGTTAGTTTGACATATAACTTCAAATTTTTAGGCATATGTACATCGACTTCCCTTTGGATTCTTGCCAGGCCTACTGCAAATGTTAGGAGAGGGCCTATATAAATTGGTGGCTCAAACTCCTTCGGCTTTTCAAAGTCAAGAGCAAAACCTGTGGCTCTCTATCTTCCTCACCTGAGTGCATGGCACTTTCATGAACCCAGCTGCTCAGGCCAGACACCTCAGGACAGCTGTCCCCTTGCTCCTCGCAGCTCCCGTCCCATCCTTCAACAGACGCCATCAGCTCCATCTTTAAAATATATCCAGGATCTGATCTACTTTCAATACCTCCACTGCCACACCACGCCTAACCCAGGACAGCATCATCTCTCACCTGAACCATTATAATTACTGATCTTTAAAAAAAAAAAAAAATCACATCAGACTTGTGGCAGAAGCTGCTAGCTGCCTCTCCTCACTCCAACACACACGCACAAGCACAAATCCATTCCTCCTTTCTCCCCAAACCACAGAATCTTTAGCCAAGCCATGGCCATCTGGAAATGTGCATCTTCCCAGACTCCTATGGAGCTGGGTGCAGCCTCGATCAACTCCAGTGCAGGGGTGGAAATGAGGGAACTTCCGGGACGCTCCCTGTAGAAACACTGGGGTTGGCAGTGTGCCCATCTCCATCCCGTCCTCCGTGCTGCTACTAGTGATGCTCCACAGTGGTGATGGTTTGATACTTCATCTCTCTCTTACTTTACTACCCAGCTGACCATTGTATGAAGTAGTAACAAGGGAAAAGTGTTCGGGTTCAACACACACAAAAGGAGCCACTTCTGTGATTACCCTCACGGCGACTTGCTTTCAGGTGCTACAGAAACCACCTTGTCATTTACTCAACATTTTGCCAGTTTCTCGGGAAATTCTTTGGCAATTACCTACTGCCTCCTCAGGAGAGAGGCTGATGCTGTCTGTGTACAGGTATTCCAGGAAGGCTCGGTAAACAGGGTATGAAAATTCGCTCATTTCTACAATATCGTCCTCATTGTCTTCCAGCGAAGAACGAAAATGCTCGCATCTGAAGGCAGAAAGAAGAGCGTCAGGTCCTAGCTTCCGGTGAGAGCAGACGGCCTCCCTGAGGGGCACAGCCTTCTCTTGAAGGTGCGCACCTGCACGCCCTTCCTTGGCTCCTTGTTTCTTTGCTGGTCTGAGGTTTTCAGATACTCATTTATGCAACACGGCTGCACCGCACACCTGCTGCTGTGGGTGGCCCAGGCAGCTGCCTCTAGGGCCACGCTGGGGAGGACAGTGCTGGGTTCCCTGGCATCGCTCTCACGCCACATGCGCTGATGGGCATTTAAAAAATCAGTGGGCTTATTTTTATAAAATCTGAGTAATTGTGTTTCTTCACCCTGTGATGAGTTGAATTATGTCCTTTAAAAATCATATGCTGAAGTTATAACCCCCAGCACCTCACAATGAGACCTCACTGGGAGACAGAGTCTTTGCAAAGGTAATCAAGTTAAAATGAAGTCACTGGAGTAATAATCCCTGATCCAATACGACTGGTGTTCTGGTAAAAAGGGGAAATTTGGACACAGACACACACACAGGGAGAAGCTGCCACACACCAAGGAATGCCAAGGATTCTCAGCAGACCACCAGCTAAGAGAGAGGCGTGGTGCAGATTCTCCCTCATAGCCCTGGGAAGGAACCCATCCTGCTGACGCCTTGATCTTGGACTTCTGGGCTCCAGAGTAAATTTCTCCTGTTTAAGCCACCAGTTTGTAGACTTTACTTACAACAAACTAATCCACCCCCTTTCTCTATGGAGGCTTATGTGCTATCGTGAGAGTAAACGAGTGGTACAGCCTGACCTTACTAAAGGGGAACTTGAGTCTAAAATGTGCACTGAGTTTGTGATTCATTAAAACAGGATTTAAACATCTGTTATACAACAGCATAATAAATTTCAAAATCATTTGCTCAGAGAAAGAAGCCAGGAACAAAAGAATGCATCCTGCATCATTCCATTTATGTAAACGTCTAGAAAATGCTAACTAATCTACGGTGACAGAAAGATCGTTGGTTGCCCAGGGCTGGGGCATGAGGGGCCTTTGGGGGTGGGGGAGGGGTGATGGGACTGTCCTGATCTCGATGTGGGGCAGAGGTTCCAGAGGCGTGTACGTATGTCAGTGCTCATCAACTGCACACTTGAAGTGGATGTAGCTCATTGCTCATACACATCAACAAATCTGATTTTTAAAATCTTTGTGTTAGCTTTGCCTCAGACCTTGTTGGTCTGGAAATGTCTTGATCCTCTCTTTTTTAAAGCATCGAAATGTTCGGTATCCCACTGGTGATTAAGGAGGGGGGTTACTATGAGCCGAGCTCAGTTCCCAGGCAGGGAAGTTGACCGATGTCCAGGTACTCAATGTGGTGCTCAAAGCACAGAAAGAACAACTCACCCAGCGTGAGCTGGCTGCTCTTCGATGCCAACGTGGACAACAGACTGATTTCAGCCTCTCAGGAACACCCACGGTACTGATTTCCTCAGCACTCGTCGCACACAACCTGTTATTTCTTGTTTCCCTGGCTGCACTGTGTTCTCATAAGGGCAAAAACAGCCTTACGTTTTTTCATTATTACTGAAGTGCCTAACGTAGTTCCTTGGACACTTAGAAGATTAAGGTTGAAGAAATGGATTTATCTCAGTTCTCAAAATACATGATTCCTTACCTAATTTTGAGAAGGACTTTATGTGCATAAATGTACTTTCCGTCAACCAGAAATGTCAGGTCTGCAGTGTCCGGGTTGTCAAATTCCCTCTTCAGTGACTCAGCCACTGTGAGGTGGTCATCGGGTTCTAAGAGAGGGACACAAATACTTCTAGAGCAAACTACAGACACAGTGAAAACACAGGCCACGACACAGCATTGTTCTACTGACACTCATGGGAATACCAATTCTCCAAGATAACTGCCCAAGTGAGCAATGCTTTTCTCCCTAAAGATTTGCATCGCTGTATGCCTTAAGGATGAGAACCTCACACCCATCTGCCTATAAATCTGGCAAAACAACAACAAAAAGTCCCAAACCACCTCACTAATTTTAAATGAAATTTTAGAATGTTTGAGTAAATACAAGAACTAAAAATAAAAGATAAGAGTTTCCTAGCAAAATTAAAAAGCAGTCAAATAAAATTGCTTTTAATTTAGTATTGGTGTTGGTTTCTGACGCTTTTAAGAAAATTAATCAAATGAATCCCCTTTCTCAGGAGCCCATGAGAGAGAAAGAAATAATGATACTTTGCCTAGCAAAGTCCTCCCCACCCAGATAAAAGCCCTGAGTCCTTTTCCCAGTCACCGGGTCATCCCCCGCATGGCCCATCCCCCAGATGACCAGCTCACCCACAGAGAGGAGACGCCACATGACGGGGGGAGTGGCAAAGCAGGCGAACACGTCGTCGGTGCAGGAGAAGTGGGTGAGATGGGGGAGGACCACCGACTGGCCCCGGCACTGGCCCCACATGTACACGTGCCCTCCCTGGGTCTTGGCGGCGGATGTGTGGGCAGAGTGACAGGCTGCGATCTCTATGATCCTAAATTCACAAACACGTGCCACATCAACACAGTGAACAGCAGAAGAAACAAGATGCTTTCTCCTCCCCCTACCTTTAACTGATTTGGGGCATTACAAACTAATTTACAGAATGGGGCAGGCCCGAGAAGAGCAAACAACCACACAAGACTTCTACACCTCATCTCCTAAATCTTCAGGCACCAAACAGTTACTCACACTTAAGCCACACTGCAGTGGCACTTGTAACTCATGACGATCTGTCTGTTAGCACTTCTAGCCCATAGACCTAGAAAAATATGCACCATCCTGTTTTGAAATTCAAGTACAATCCAAGAGAGTAGAGGCCAAAAAAAAAAAAAAAAATGGTGATTGAATTATTTTCCTTAAACATTACTTATTGAAGAAAATAATAAAGATTTTGGCCATCTGGACTTAGGGTCAATAAATAAATATTTTCATCAAAACGTCATCTATTTCAGCGTGCTGCGGGTCATGCCAGCTCGTACTGCAAAGAGTGGGTTCGGTAGTTCTCGCCCCACTGGACTATATCATCTGGAGCCCGAGGGGGCAGTTTTCTAGATCACCACATGATAGACCCTACTGCAGTAAGTTCGTGATTGACGGGAGGTAGTTCTCAGAACACTTCCTAATGGAAAACATTGTGTTGTTGATCTGGAAATAATAATAATACTTTTCTATAAGAATAAGTTAAGCCACCATACAGACTCGAAGAGGATACTAAACTCTTTCTCTCACCCCAAGGGAGGTCCCCATCTGATTTTGCCACCACGGGTGGCAGGGTACCAGCATCCTCAGAGACTCAGGCTCAAAACTTCAGCGTCACCTTTGACTTCTTCTCCCTCCTCACCACTTTCTTCAGAATATCCACTTAACACATAACATAGATTCTTTCTTTGTAATGTCTCCCCTCAGCCACCAGCGTGGGTCTGGCACACCCGGGTCTGGTCCTGTAACAGCCGCCCAGGTCTCCCTCACCTCAGACTCTCCCTCTTCTACCCCACGTCCCACGGTGGGGCACAGGCTCCTGAGACACTGTTCCCATCAGAACTTTCCAACCTGCATCGACTTCCCGTAAGATGAAGTCCAGACACAAGACATCAAGGCCTTCCATGATTTGGTTTCCGGCTCTGTCCAGCCTTAACTCACTTTTGTCCACACACCCCATGTTCCAACAAGCAAGATGTACTCACTGCCCCTCAATGTCTTTATTCTATTCACAGTTGAAGTCCTTGTTCAGGAACGTTCTTTCCTTCTCTCTGCCTTACAAACCCTACCAATCGTGTCAAGCCCGGTTCAAACAGCCCTGAGGTTCAGAGGTCTCTCGCTTGCCTGAGCTCTCCTGGCCACTTCCTGTCCACACCACTCCAGCCTGGCCCTGTTGGCATTTCACATGTGTAAGTTTCCTCTGTTCAGCTAGATGACAAGCTCCCGGCAGGCAGAATCACTGGCGTGTTTCCCTCTCTAAGCATGTAACATGGTGTCTTATTAAACATAATTTGTAGGTCATTTTATTGCCCAATAGGGGACAGCTCCCAGCCACACAGAGCCACTGAGAGCTGTGTTAAGAACCCACTGATGGGCCACAGTGGAGAGCCCAGCCTTTGCGGTCAAACAGACCCAGGTTTGAGTCCCAGCTCTACCACGAGGCTGTGTGACTCTGGGACTGTGGCTCAGCCTCTAGGAGCCTCCATTTTGCCACACTGCAGGGCTGGTGTGAGAATTAAATGATAAAAACGTTAAGCGCCAAGCACAACGTCTGTGTATAACTGGTCGCATCACAATAGAGGTTTCTTAATGCTACCACTACTCTGTACCTTAAGTGGCAAAGCCTCCCTTAGGCAGAGACTCTATATTTCTAATGATAATATTCAGATTAGTAGAAGTAGACCCTTCTTCCCTAGAAGAGTCCTTTCCTGACCTTGCATGGCTATGTCCGTCCACTGGCTCCAACCTCTAATCCAGCGCTGTGCAAGGAAACCTTGCCAGGTGGGAAAATGGCCAATACTATTTAGCTTCTCCAGAAGCACATTCTTTTCAACAAATACAGAAAATGGGAGAAGGAAGTAGAATACACACATTTATTGAAAGAAAAGTACATCTCCTGTTACCATCTATGTTACTGGCAAGCCTCACGTGTCACCCTCATGCGTGAGGGCAGCAACACGACCTGTGTTAGGTGGCCTAGCACAGTGGACAGGACGTGGGCTGGGAGGCAGACAGGAGTTTGTAGAGGCCACATTACTTTAATTCTTACAGTCAGCTTTACCATCTTTCTAAAGAAAAAAAGGAGGGCGGGCGGACAGGATACAAAGTAGCAATCGTCTCACAGCTCTGTGCTTTAGGGTGAATGAAATAAGGCATTGGGCAGAGCTGGGCACTCAAAAATGGCTTCTGTGACTAAAAATGTTTAACAGCTGCTGCAGACCTGTAGGGCCTGCCCCGAGGAGCTCACGACCTAGCTGAAGAGAGGTGGCAGACAATTCCCACATAACATCACAGTGTGGGCTGCGACATCCTCGGGAGGATTTAAAGTAAAAGGGAGCTCACCGGGCCACATAGGCTTTGGATTTGTCACAAATGGAATCAGAGCCCATGAGGTGGAGAGAAAAGCAAGACCAAACGTGCAGCAGGGGGTGGGGACAGCAAGGCTGTGGTGAGCTGGGACACGCGGGCACCTTGCAGGGGCAGAGAGCAGCAAGGTTTGCTGGGAACAGTGGTGTCAGCTCAGATCCAAGGCTGAGGAGTTCAGACGGGATCTGACGTGACCGGCAAATGGGAAGCAGCCTTGTCAACAGGGCCATGAGGTAACGAAAATGGTGTTCTCAGAAAGACTGATCTGGCAGCAGTGTGCAAGGCAGAACTGCGAGGCAGAGAAAGAACAGCTCAGAAGGCTGGCTGGGGAGGCCTGCGGGTGTGGCAATGTCCCATCCGAGCCATGTCACCAAGGAGGGGTCAGGGTGACTCAGATATAAATGCAGAGGAAGGAGAAGAGTCAAAGGTGGCCCCAGAAGGTGTGTCCGAGGAAACACCAGCCTGGCAGCGCTGAGGCAGGCGGGAGCAGCTCTGGTCCCTGGCAGACCACAGGCCTGTCTGAGGCCTGGCGGTGGGCTGCCACATTGTAACCAGCTCAGTGGTACAGTCACCTGGTACTCCCTGAGGGCAGGGGAGGTTAGACCAGCCCAACAATGTCTAGGGAAACATCAATTAACTGTTCTTGCTCTCTCTAGATTTCAGCACTTCTGCAATGACCTAAGCAAGGACTTTTAAATTTTTTTTGAATAGTTTCTGTATACTTGGGGATAAAATTCTATGAAAAATGTCACTGATTAGAACACAACAGTGTCCTTCTTTGTGAAACTACCCAACATCAGAAAATCAAAATGACTTAATTCCTACATTCCCTTCTGAAATGTTTGCTATTAGCCTCCTTGAAAGGGGAACGGCCTTTGCCACGACAGCAGCCGGTGACCCGAGGTGGAGACGCTGCTTCCTGGAAAGGGGCTGGGACAGACTGAGCCAAGGGGTGAGGGTGGGGAGGGCCACACTGCCACCGGTCGTCCCTGGGCACGGCCTTGTGAAGTTTACCTGGGACACCTGGCTCTGCACGGGAAGTCAGAGGTGGGGCGCGGGCGTGGCTGACCGCAGCAGCTGCTACAGGAAGGAGAGTGGAGACAGTTTAGAGGGAACCTTCAGGTCTAGGCTTGGAACCCAAGCAACTGCCAAGGAACCTCGCCTTTGCCTAAGGTCATTGGTTTTTAAATCAGATCCATACCAAGAAGTAAATTTTGATGCTCAGATTTTCCAGTCTTACATGCAAAAGACAATGACTATAACCTGAGCTAACCTTTACTGTCAGGGTGTCTGGCATATTGCACACTTTATTTTGTAGCCAATCTCAATGGAAAAAAAATTACTACACGCTCTTAATAAACAGGTTTCGTGTCACCTCAACAGAATGATCCACAACAACCGCAGAGCTTAATGTCTGTGAAGTACTAGAAATGAAAAAGCAGAGAGTAAGAAAGAATGTAAAACAGAAAACAACAAGCAGGGCAAAGGTCACTTGTGAGGGGGAAGAATAATGGAGAAGAAACAGCAGTGATCAAAGGATCCACAGCAGTGATTCCCAATCCTGGCTTCGTAAGAGCCCGGAGTATCATCAGGAGTATCATCCGTTACCTCAAGAAGCTGCAGAGTTCTCAAAAATTCAAGGCCAAGTTAGGTTTACATCAATTTTAACTTAAAATATGCTCTGATGGAACTTCTAGAACAAAGACACAATTGCTGGTCAATGAAATACCAAGGTCTCGAAGCTTCAAAAAGATTGGGAATGACTGAGTTAGAGAGAAGACAATCATTTTAATTGTTAAAATTACTTTTATGTAAACATAAATAGCTGACAAATATCAGTATTCTTCATCATAAATAGACTTCTCTGGGAAAGATTTTAAAAGGTTTCCCTGGGGCGGTTGTTCAAGCAAGGGATCCAGTGCACACAGTTTTGTCCTTTCCACTTCTGTGGACAGGTAACTAAGAACTGAAGACCCACCCTGCCCTAAATCCTATCCTAGTCCCAATTAGTCAAGCTTCCCCACAATGGGTCGAAAAAAGTCAGAAGTGAGGTTTCCTGAGAGTAAGCCATGACATATCCTCGAGGTTTCAGTCACTGGAAAGGGTGGAGAGGAGCAGAACAAGTCCCAGCACAGACCCGTACATTCCTCCCTCACAGAATGCCTGTGCTTGAGTGCCCAGCTGACACTGTGCAAGCTCCGACATCACCACCTGAAATTCAAGTGTGGAATGCTGGGAAAATCAGGAATATCTCATTTCAAATACTCAACCATGACTTTACGGCCAAGATCATGTTTATGTAGACAACGGCCAAGATCATGTTTATGTAGACAACGGCCAAGATCATGTTTATGTAGGCAACGGCAAGTGTGCAAGCGCATGGCTGTTTCCACTTTTCTTTACATTGATAATTGCAAAATAGTTGCAGTTTAAAATGATAGAAAAGCAATAGATAACTTTCAAGGTGCAGGTAAGCAACTTGGCACTCACGTAACTTCCATTCCCTGCTTCTCTGCTTTTTCTTTCTCCCACCTCAGTGCCCCACAATCCGTCTGTCCTGCGTGAACCAGAGTCAGGAGACCTGGAAGGTCTTTCTGGGTCAAGGACCAACAGTGGAATGGGAAGCACACATTGGTGGGCGATGAGGGTAGATGGTTTTTGATAAATGTGCAAGCACATACTTGGCCTTTCTCTGTCAGAAAATGGTAAAGTGCCGTACAAATACCCTGCTTTTATTTCCACGTGACTTTGATTTGATCCTTTAACACTTTGTTGTTCAGTCTAAATACTAAGCTTCCCCACTAACTGGACTTGCTAGCCTGAGGCATTTTTGAGATTATTCAAAGCCTCAAGACTGTCCTTTCTCTTGTTGCTGAGAAACTCTGAACTACCTTTACAAGAAATGCAAACCTATTCGACATAGGTTAAATAACGTTAGCCAAGTTCATGATACTCAAATGAAAATGGAGGCGGTTGAAAAAACGACAAGTTGGTTCTTGGCTTTCATTGTCAAGTACTCCAACAGAAGAACAGAAAAGAATTGCATATAAATGCAAGCTAATCTATTTATCCATTCATCTATTTTAAAATCAAATATAATAAAATTGATATATGCAATAAAAATTGTAGCATTAATTTCTACAATGATTGCAACCCTGGTTTAAAAGAAAAGGTAATGAAATGTTTCTGCCTCATACTACTGTGTCGAGAAACGAATGGTGAAAAGGCAGCAAACGGGCCATGCTTGAGAAATTCAAAAGGCCTTCAAAAACATTAGGACAATTTGGAAACGAGTTCTGAATGTGCTAATTACATAATCCAACCTTGCAAACAAGTGTCCAAAACTAAGTCTTAATTTTCTAACCATTTTACTCTTTCTCATGCCGGAAAAATAAGCCTAGCCTTTTCAACTGACAAAGTTTCTAAGTAACTGAGCGACTGGCTTTATACCCCATTCAAGGTACCTTCGTTTTCCTAAGCCATAGAAGACAGACCTGAAGTGTTATCAACTCCCCTTAAGAATGTAAGACGGAAACTGAGGAGGGGAAGAGGGTGGTCTGTGAGGGAGAAGAATAATGTGGAATAAAACTGTTGGAAGTTTAGTCATTGCAGTTTGCTTAGAGGAGACGTTGGAGGTACAGGTGCAACACGGGCAAGTGAAAATAGAGTGTTTAGCATACAATGACCTCAACAATTCAAAAGCCAACTTTAAAAAGGAATAAATACTCTCGTTAAAAGAATATTCTCATCCAAGCAGAAATTCTCTATCACGTCTAAGTCCTGGTTAATCCCTGAAGACCGCTGCGGGGGCTGGGGGGGATTGTGAAAATGCACATGTTACCTGTCCTTTTCCACAACGACAGGGGTCGGATAGGACTGGTTGCTTTTATTGCCAGTGCCCAACTGGCCAAAAGAATTGGCGCCCCAAGCATACACTTGGCCTTCATCTGTTAATACTAACGTGTGCGCGTAGCCACAGGCAACCTGGAAGGAAAGAGACCAGACTGACTCAGGCCTGCAAATAGAAGGAAGTAGTTCACTGTTTTCACAAAGTAGGTTAAGAATCAAAAATGAAAAAAAGGAAGAGGCAGCCTTCCCACAGAGGCAAGCGTTAAGTTAACCCATCTCCTTCCAGAAGGGCAGGAAGACTGCCATGAGTCCCTTAGCTGCCTCAGCTCCGGTTCATTCCAGCTTGACTGCTTCCCGGAAATCAAGGGGTAGGAGGTGAATGTAAGAAACAGACCCTTTCATTTTTTAATAAATAGTTTCTCTTTTCTGACTATAAAAGTAAAATAAGTTCAACGTGAAAAATATAGAAAAGTATATGAAAGTACTCTCAGGATCAGGGTTTTTTCTATTTATATATAGACATAGAGAAATGTAGCTAGAGCTTTTTTAAAATGACCATATTATATAAGCAGTTTTATATCTTGTTTCTTTTTATAATACTTTACCATTAAATACAGCACTGTCCCACATTGTTAAAAATTCTTTGTAAAGATCATTTCCGTCATCAGAATCAATTTTTCATTAGTAAATTATGCTACACCTACTGTTTTTTATTATTAATAGTTTTTTTTTTTCCTGTATTTTCTTAACTAATTCTGTAAGAGACTTTCTCTTTGGTTCCTTAGGATAATGCCCTAGGACTAGAATTATAGGTCAGAGGGTATGAAGACTAAGGCTCTTGATACACACTGCCAAAGATTCTTCGGAAAAGGTTCTAACAATTTATATTTCAAAAGCTGCCTACGGGCCGGGCGCAGTGGCTCACGCCTGTAATCCTAGCACTCTGAGAGGCCGAGGTGGGTGGATCACTCAAGATCAGGAGTTCGAGACCAGCCTGAGCAAGAGCAAGACCCCATCTCTACTAAAAAATAGAAAGAAATGATCTGGACAACCAAAAATATATATATGTAGAAAAAATTATCCGGGCATGGTGGCGCATGCCTGTAGTCCCAGTTACTCGGGAGGCTAAGGCAGTAGGATCGCTTAAGCCCAGGAGTTTGAGGTTGCTGTGAGCTAAACGGCACTCTAGCCAGGGCAACAGAATGAGACTCTAACTCAAAAAAAAAAAAAAAAACAACAAAAGCTGCCTACGGGAATGCCCTAGGAACAGAGATTTCCTGATGAATAGCTACAAGTTAATTCAGAGAAAAAGAGCTTTCACCTTTACTTCAGTGAAGACATCCAAGCAGCTAAACTTTTCATCCTGCTAAGGAAATTGTGTTTTTAATACACTGGTACCTTTGCCACTGAAGGCTTAAAACTACAGGCACACAGACCGCCAGCGCACGTACCCGCTGGACACGGATGCCCTGCAGCGCGGCGATTCTGCAGGGGGTGGGCTGGTTGCCGCTGCTGCCGAGGCCGAGCTGCCCGTTCCCGTTGTAACCCCAGACGTACACCTGCGAGGAAACGAGAAACGCGATGCTCAGGAGAGACAGACGGCCGTCGAGTTCCCTGCTACGAGAGACGTGCCATACTTACCTCCCCGGTGTCCACCACCACCATGGAGCACATCTGCCCGCACGCTATGTTCACGACCGCTTTACTCTGCAGGCAGCCGGTGACGCGCCGGGGGATCGGCTGATTAGCTGTCGACCCAGATCCCACCTGCCCGGAGTTATTATAGCCCCAGGCAAACACCTATTTGAAAGAAAAGATCCATAAATGAAACACAGCAATTTATAAAGCGTCTGGACTGGACACTAACATGCACGAGCGGTACCTTGTCTTTCCTCCCCAAGTGCTGCACATCCAGAAATTCTCACAACACAGGCAGAGAAGTTTTTATAAAATTCATTCTTACAAAAGTATTATTTTACCAAATTAGGTTATTGGTGCTGTCTACACAAACAGTGATAATTACTATCAAATATCGTGTAACACAAAAATATCTACTGCGCCTCAGCTGTATTTTCTACCACTTGGGGATTTTTCTTATTGCAAATAACCCCTTCACTATAGCAATATAGAAAGTCAATACATCCTTCTAAGTTTTGCAGTTATATATTAAGTGCTTACTACATACAGGTAAACTCCATAATATAAATACCAGGACTATGAATTGTTACCAAAACTCAGGCTGCATTTGAGGGATGTGGTTATTTTAATCAAATGCTCACGTTGCCAGGACTGCTAAAGGAATCTACAGAATCTTACTGAAAAAAAGCAGCGAGTTTTATACCAACTGTTCTCACCTCTCCATCAGATGTTAGCACCAAAGAATGGTAAGACCCACAGGCAACTTCGATGACCTGCTTGTTTGACAAATTAGTAGAGATGTGACAGGGCACTAAACCATGATTAGTTGTCCCATTGCCCAGCTGGCTGTAAGCATTATGACCCCAGGTAAAGACTTCTCCTTCTGAAAATAAAAAGAAAGATAACTGGCTTTCAAAACATCTACTTCATTATATGAATATATATATTGCATGACTTCCACAAATGAAAACTAAAAATTCAAGTCCAAAAAGCTACGAACTTCCCTATTCTATCAAATTCACTCCACAAAAGAATCTATTAGGAAAGTATTAACTGAATTCTACCCCAAAGCAACAATATGAAATTTAAATGCATATAGAAGAGAGCTTTTTAATAAATAACAGAGAAAAGGCTGCTAAGAGTAATAGAAAAATCAGACTGAAAGTCGGAAGATTGTAAGGACACGTAACTCCTCTGGGTCTTAATTTTCTTATCTAAAAAATGATCACCAAGTTAATTTTTAAAAATCTTTGTTATTATTTATGGTGCAATATAATACACACTCGGAAAAGTTCATAAAAACATATAAGTACAGTTTTAGAAATAATTATAAAGCACATGACCATGTACTACTATTCAGATCAAGAAATATAGCCTCTTGGTCATATAGCAATATGGTCATAAACTCTTGGGGGGAAATTTTATTTCTTTTCTTTCTTTTCTCCTCCCTGCGTTGTTCAGAGCGAGGAATTCTTGTCAATCCTCAGGAAGCAGCTAATCCTCTCCTTGGAGATTCAGATATATTCCCATTTCATGTTATCCAAAGCACAGTCAAGTTCACAGGGCGGAGCCAGAAACTCTAGCCCAATCAAAAAGTACATTCTCAATTTAAGGGTGGTCCCAGTCTTGTTCCTCAGCAAATAAAGCAATGACTGAAATTCTGCATGGCGTTCCTGTTACCTGTTGTTGCAAGGACAACGTGTGGACCACTACCATAGCTGAGGCAGGCTATCTTTTTGCCACTTAAGGAATCCAGTCTCCGAGGTTCGATGGTGCTCTGGATGTCACCTAACCCCAAACAGCCACAGCAGTTTGTGCCAAGCACAAAAATCTGCGGGAAAAACCACCGTTAGTTGAAGCAGTTCTATTTCTGACAAACCTATAAATTACATCCAAACAGGCATCATCTTCCTAAAGCAAACTGCTTCATTTCTCTAACAAATAAGAATCTGCTTTCCACGTTTTTTTTTAACCTTGATTCCTTAGCTCCCCCAAGATCTTCAATTTAGCAAATCCATTTCTAAAAATACAGGTGGCTGAATTATGTTCTTCAAAATTACCTCATCGTTTACTGTAGTATATAAAACTTCATTGCCAGCGCTGCCAAAGACACAAGCCTGACGAATTAACTGCAGTTCTTCCTCGGAACAAAGGGAAAAAATTGGCCACTTGCCCACATCTAACATCTTCAAAGATGACAGAGTAGCCTGTACTGGCTGAAAAGGAAAAAAATATATACTGAGACTACTAATCCAAAGTTCAATTTTCTTTGCCCCTCCACTTCTGTGGAAGAGGACTCGCTGCACGAGCTTCCGAGAGGACTGTCACGGCTGCAGGCATCGCCTCCATGCCGGCCGCTTCAAGGCTGCTGTCACAGCGGCTGAGCTCCAGGGGCCGGGGTGGAACCAGGTCTCACCTATTCATTTTCATCAAGGACCCGGGAATCAGCCAAAGCTGAACTTTGGGGAGCTGATTGTTTAGCGAGTGCTTTAAATACTGGCTATGTCTTAACTGTAGCTGTGGAAACTAGGCTGGCTGCGAAAGCAAGACAGAGAGACAGAGTGAGTGCGTGAGAGAGAACTGCCATTTCTTCTGCTCCCTAAGTCTTAATAAAACAAATCCTTGGACAAGAACAATGCTGAAGGTGACACCAGGGAAATGGTCCAAAAGTTTCAGTTCACGGGAAAGCCTGACCTGACCCTCAGTTGGGAGGTTGGTGGGTTTCCTCATCCCCCACTTAAGGTTTGGGGGAAGAGGTAGGAAGTAACACCTAGAAAGTGTATGTACTAGTTTGCTAGGGCAGCCGTAACAAAGTATGGTAAACTAGGTGATTTAAATAACAGAAATTTATTGACTTACAGGTATCAAGGCTCCTTCTCAGGGCTGTGAGGGAAAGATCTGTTCCAGGCCTCCCTTCTTGGCTTATAGACGACTACCTTCTCCCCACGTCTATCCACATTATCTTCCCCTTTGTGTACCTGTGTCTAAATTTCCCCCCTTTTTTTTATTTCAGGATATTATGAGGGTACAAACATATTATGGTTACATTTTATGTCTTTGCCTCACCCAAGCGAGGGTTAGAGGCATGCCCTTCCCCTCTACAATGCTGCCTGTAAATTTCCCCTTTCTTAAAGGACACCAGTCATATCAGATGAAGGCCCACCCTAATGACCTCATCTTGACCAAATACATCTGCAATGACCCCATTTCCAATGAGCTGCGTTCTAAGGTACTGGGTGTTAGGACTTCAACACGTGAATTTGGAAGGTCACAATTAAGCCCGTAACAGCCTATCTTCATGAGCATCTGCACCCCCACAAGAGCACTAAATGTGCACATTATAAAGTTGTTTGAAAAGACAGTTTTTACTTATTTGCTACACTGGAGATATTTTTACTTATATACTTTTCAACTTTCAAAAATTTTGGTGATTATAATAAGATGCATAAACAGCAAGAAGCCTATCAAATGCTATGTTTGGCCATTTTCCACAATAATCACCAAACTCATGCTTAATTTAAAAGAGCAAAGGTTTTCTAAGGGCGCTCTTTCTCATCAGCTATTAAGTCATCCCTACTAGGAATGAGTTCTGGTACAGAGCTGGGTGGTCCAGCCACTTATTTTCTACAGATCTGAAAGAATACTTGTCCGTAGGAGTCAGTAGAGGACATCTGAGAGCACAAGTCAGCAACTCTGCGCTTCTCAAGTCCACACCATGGACTTACAAGGCTCCCCCATCCTCATTACTGCGAAGTATTTTGGGGCCACCTTCATAGACCCTCAAGTACCCTTCAGGAGGACAGAGACAGAGTCTCTTCACCCACCATGTCATTGGTCCCTTGAATAGAGACAAAAATACAATAAACACCTGTGTTGGTAAAATGAACAAATGAATGTTTGAATGGATGGCTCACTTCTGGGTGCGCAGCCCTCCTGTCCATCTCATCCTCTGTAACTCCTTCCCGAGGAAGACATTCTAATTTTCTGGCCCCTCCACTCCCTACTCACAGCCCCAGCGCTCTCCGTTTCTACTTCACCTGAGCCATGTCGTCAAACACCACTCTATTACCAAGTCTCAAACTTTTAAGTTCCCTCTGATCACAACTAACAATCCTAAACTTACATCCAAAGAGAGGTCGCAGTGAGTAAGAGTCCCAATGACCACTGAACTTACAGCGGAAACAAGCAGAGCCACCAGCTTTTTATTGTAATTTTAGCTCTGTTTTTAGGTTTCTATCTTTTCTGACTACTATTCATGGAACTACTGAATGGTATGGCTAAAAAGCTCTGAAGGTCATTTTATGGGTGAGAAACCTGAAGAAAGCCCAAGAGGGGCTATAATGGGTTGAATGGTTGTCTCCCAAAATCCAAAAATTCAGGTCCACCTGGAAACTCATAGCGACCTTATTTGGAAACGGGCTCTTTGCAGATGTAATAAGAGGAAGTCATATGGGATTAGAATGGTCCCTAAGTCCAATGACTAATGTCCCTATAAGAAGACAAGAGGGCACACAGAGACACTTAAGGAGGAAGGCCATGTGACAACGGAGGCGGAGATCTAGAGTGGACTCGTGCATCTCTAAGTCCAGGAACGTCAAGGATTGCCAGGAGCCACCGCCAGAAAGCTGGGAAAATCATTCCCTAGAACCTTCAGAGAAAGTACAGCCCTGAGGACACTTGATTTCAGACTTCCAGCCTCTAGAACTGTGGGAAAATAAATTTCTCTCGTTTTAATTGTAGTTATTTAATTTGTTACAGCAGCCCTAAGAAATTGTTAGAAGCTAAGCAGTTTGTCCCTGCTAATAGCATCACCTTGTGAGTTAGGGGTAGAGCCTGAACCAGGGCTGAGCTCCCCTGATGCCAAATGCAGCCACATTCCCTCCCATGCCACTTGGATCATAAGACCCTGCCCCAAGAATAACACTTTCTATTATCTTTTGGGTAACACCAAAAGATACGTACTAATGTTTGCTTGCATTTGCAGGGCTTTGGATATTCCCATAGAGCCCTTGAGGAACAGTGCAGTAATTCCCACTGTGGGAATTACGCAAGGCAGGTGGCAAGACACAATGATTGACTACTAACCTCTTTTCTTTCTTTCAAGCATATTTTGGATTTCATCCTGCTCTGCTAAATAATCAAGTGATTTCTGGGATGCCTAGAATCAGGTTGTAAATTCCAATCAGCTTTTAAAACTTGTCTACCAATCATTAGTTCTAAACTATCTTCCTGGCCCATATGTAAAAAAACCCTATACTGTCCCACCTGTGATTCTACTAACTACTGGGATTGCAACATGTGTGTGTGTTTTAATGTAACCTCTAGTCTATATGTTTTATGAAAAGATGCTACTCATGACACTATCATTAAACTAAAGATATAAAAATGAAATGTAATCATTCCCCTCAAGGAGGTCACAATTTTTTTTTTTTTTTTTTGAGACAGAGTCTTGCTCTTTTGCCCAGGCTAGAGTGAGTGCCGTGGCGTCAGCCTAGCTCACAGCAACCTCACACTCCTGGGCTCAAGTGATCCTTCTGCCTCAGCCTCCCGAGTAGTTGGGACTACAGGCATGCGCCACCATGCCCAGCTAATTTTTTCTATATATTTTTAGTTGGCCGATTAATTTATTTTCTATTTTCAGTAGAGACGGGGTCTTGCTCTTGCTCAGGCTGGTTTCGAACTCCTGAGCTCAAACAATCCGCCCGCCTTGGCCTCCCAGAGAGCTAGGATTACAGGCATGAGCCACCACGCCCAGCCGGAGGTCACAACTTAACAGAAAAAATTATAATATAATCTAAGTGCAAGGAAATGTGAATACATTGCTTTTCAAATCTCTGTCAGAAGGCTGACTGTAGGAGGTTAGTTATCAAAGACTCATTTTTTAAGTCTGTGGGGGAACTATTATATAGGGAACTGATGACTTAATTTATAAAATACATATATTTATACTTTTTTTTGAAGTAAATATTTAATACAGGTTGAGCATCTTTAACCCAAAATCAGAAATGCTCCAAAATATAAAACTTTTTGGGCACCAATATGAAGCTCAAAGGTCGTGCTCCAAGGAAATGCTCATTGGAGCATTTCAGATTTCAGATTTTCAGATTAGGGATACTCAACTGGTAAGTATAATGCAAATATTCCGAAATCCAAAAAATCCAATATACTTCTAATCCCAGGTATTTCAGATAAAGGATACTCAACCTGTATCAGTCTCAAGGAATTAAAGCATCTTTGTTCACAGAAGAAAAAAACATTTTCTGACCAGCAAGCTTGTGAGACAACGTATAAAAGAGTCACACACAGGCAGGCCCCCGTAGGAGCCTTCGTCTCACTGCAGCCTCTCTGCATGACAGCAGCTGTCTCTGCAGAAAGCACCCAATCTACTCCATGTCCAACTGCCACCTAAGGAACTGGCTAAGCAAAAGCCAAGCATGGGCAATAGAAAAATCTGCATGAGGAACAAAAGCACCACTAGGAAATGAGAGCCTGGTAATGTTCAGCATTAAGATCATGTCCCTGGAATTCAGTCCTGGTTTGGCCTGAGTAACCCCCCTCACTGCACATAACACTACCTTAGGTGATAATTAACCCAGGCCCGTTTTCTTTTACTAGTTTTCTTTTACTGCTTCACTCCAATCCAAGCCACCTCCCCCACCTTTACCTGGCATCTGTTTGGGAAATTAAAAGTAGCGAAATTTTAACATTAGCTCAAGGAAAACAGAATTAAGGAAATACATCCGCCATAAAATTGTATCTTATCGGTCTTTTGAGAGTGTGCTATCTGTATAACCATGCTTCTCTTCAACATGAAGAATCAAATGGATTACCAAATTACAGACAACTATGAAGTTGTCACAATTCAATTTAAAATACAGCATATGTACACGGAATTGAGATGACATGTTAGTCATGCCTGGCTAAAAACAAACATTTCTTAAGAAAAAATACCAACATCTCCCTTTTGAGGATTTCCTAGCATTACAACACTTGGTAGGTAACAAAGTGATTTCACTGCTGATTCTGTGAATCCATTCTTTTATTTTTAAAAATATGTTCCCAGGAAAAATGAGAAATTTTTCTAATAACATACTATAAGACTCTCAGGTTCTATATATTACTTTTGTAAGCTACTTTTGGACATTCCTACAAGGGCTCACAAACACTTCAAGTGAGCCCGTGATGATGCCATGGGTTGGTTTCAGAAGCTCTGCCATCTTGGTACACTCTGCTGGCTTTGTATAATTATTTACATCTTTTATTGAATTTTGACCTAATTTTATCAAATAAGAATGGAAAACAAATAAATAATTAATAGTGATAATTTATATGAAGCTGTTAACAGTGATGAGCAGATATTTTGCAAATTTAATGAAATAACACAAGAAGGAAATCAATACGCATGCTGCAAAATGTGAAACTTTTAACATCGGCTGGACACCGACTGGACTGAAGCTGGTTGACTGTAATGTTCAGATGTGATGGAAAAGAAAGAAATTAAAGAACACCTATGATGAACTGAAAAGACACCATCTAAGATTTGGTAGTTTATAACTGTTTTTTAATCTCTGGGAATGGAATAATTGTTGTTCAACTCAAAGTCTTTTGCAGGCCAGCACTGTGAGTGCAGGGGATGGTCTGCCCTTCTCATCCATCCTCACCATCTCTGGGTGCCCTTTCTCTACCCCTCCGATAATCAGTTCCCTGCTGGCCCCTTCAGCATTCTGCATACCCATAATAATAATCTGTTGGCATCTCAATCACTACACCGTGAGCCCCTCAAAAATCGATACTATCTCACTGATTTTCCTGTTGGGTGACCAACAGATGTTTGATGACGGATGTTCCATGCGATAGAATAGACATGCTCACTTCAAGGGCATGATTTTTTTCTAACCTTGCCACTTTCTCCATAGAAAAGAGGAAGTTCTTCTTCCATATGGACTCAGTTGTGTGCAGTCCCTGAGGAAAAAGTATGTGGTAAAATCAGGATCCCATATGTTGGATGCAACTAAGCAGGTTAAAATTACTTTATTTCTAATGAACAGAGAAAATAAGCTAAGCTCAAATACGGTGAAGGAGAAATAAGAAAGTTAAGCTTTAGGTATGGGAATTAACAGCTATAAAACACAAAAGGCGTTTTCACTGTTCTGGAACTACCAGTTGGCCTATTATGGGAACCCTCCTGCTGAGGTCTGAAAAAGTAATCTGAGGAGATATATACATAGGTCCTTAAATCCACAAGGAAATGAGTAGACAATTTTCATTTCAGAGCTGACTTCCTATAGATAAGGAAAAATAAATTTTAGACCTTGGTCAACTTTTCTCTGGGATTGGAAAGTTCCAAATCACTGTGAAGAGCAGACTTATCAATTCTCGGCTCCACTGAAGAATATATGATTTGCTAAGCTGGAAAAAAACAAAAAGGAGAATGAATGAAAAGGATGAAAGGATGAATGAATGAATGTAGCCTTGTTATACTGGATTTTAATGAAAAAATCTGAAGCAATAGCAATCAGGTATGCAGCCATAGCACTGAGTGATCTTGCCTTCATAACCATCTCCACAATGACTGCTTTCTACCACGTGGAAGTATTGATAACAGCAGGTGCAGCCCTATCAGAAGATATGCAATATGTCTGCACTGTGGTTCAATCATTACACAGTTAACTATCTTGTCACTAAATATAAACACAAATAAAATATTCTCTGTCCCCCAAAAGCAATTTAATAAAACTGTATTCAATAATGTTGCTTTTTATAATTTATTAGATTGGCTCCTATTTACTTAAATACAATCCATATTTCAAGTACTAACATCAAAACATTTTATCTGATATTTTCTGAGGTAGAGTTAGAGCCCTGTAACAGATAAAAACAATAATCAAAATAAGGTCGTCTTAACAGTGTTCCTTAACAATGTGGATTTTTTTTAATTTTTAAAAATTTTTTTGTAGAGATAGAGTCTCGCTATGTTGCCCAGACTGGTCTCAAACTCCTGGCCTCAAGCAATCCTCTCACTTCTGCCTCCCAAAGTGCTGGATTACAGACACAAGCCACCAAGTCCCCTTATCAATACTTTATATGCCCTTGAAAATATTCTTTTTCCCTTGGCTGTAAAAAGGTCTTTCAGAATATGAGGAATAATATATTCAGAATAATTATGACTCAAAATTATGGCAATCAATAACCAATCATTATTTCTAATGTTTGGAAACACGTCAGAAAAGATATGCTTGTTTTTAAGAGGATCACCTAAAAATTTCTCACTTATAAATTTATGCAACTTCATCCGGTTGACAATATAAAAACATATGTTGCCATATCTTACTTATACTTACTACACATTATCTAGCAGATCTGTTAAAATCCTAATTTTCTCTAAAACTCAGCATGACTGTCACATTATCGTGGGTCCTGATGACCCAAATGGGCTGGGACCCCTTCTCCTCTGTATTTCCACAGCACTTTTTTAAAAACTTCACTAATGACACTTTTCATATTCTGCCTCATGCGATAGTTATTCCTACATGATTTATATTCCCTATAAATTTGCAAGCTTTTTAGGACAGGGACCGTGATTCTTTCATCGCTATAACCCCCACGGCATGTGGCCCGGAGTAGGACACAATGTATTCACTGCCAGCATCCTTAGAATACAGCTTTTTATATACTGGAGTCTGTCTATACAGAGGATCCCTCTCTTTTTGCCCCATCCTAACTGGAAATACCTTTTCCATATCTGCCCCTAAGTTTACTTGAAAAAAAATAAAAAGAGAGGAGAGGGAGGAGAAGAAAGAGGAAGAGAAGAGAAAGAAGAAAAAGGGACCAAACAGAATGTGACTTCCCTTCATTCTACCACTTTAAGCCCCCTTTGTTCCTAGCAGAAGAGAAATCTTGCTAATGTTTAAGATAATGGAACACTAATCTTGGGGTTTTAAGTAGGAAAAGAACTCTTTTCAGTGTCTTTGATCAATTTCAAGTATAATTAAACTCTTTAAAATTAGAATGGTGGGAAAATAGGCCATTCTGTCTGTCTGACTGAGCAGGTTAAGACTCAACTGCGTGTTTGTCATGGAAATTACCACATTCAAGCAAATAACATTCACTAAGACTCAATTAGCATGCAATATAAGATTAACATAAGTTCATGTTTGCTGATCAGAAAGTCCTTCAAGGTCTAAAAATGATTCAAGATTAATTACTATTGTGCGGTACTATAAAATAAATTGTTGAATTCTCTAGCTTTGTGAAAAATGGTTGGCTTATTTTTTTTTTATATGATTTCAATATGATGCATATGTAACAGAGAAAACTAGCTCCCCCAATTTGCATTATTTGAGGAGTACAGTTTATGTGATACATATGGAGATTCCAGTTATTCAGTTATCCACGATTGCATCAAGCTATTATCATACTGCAGTAGTATATCCATATATACGTTTTAAAAAATCCACAATACACATACAGAAAACCACATCCATGATTTGATAAACATGTATTGTAAATAACAACAGCAATAATAATAACAGTAAAAATAAACAGTTACTCTGTGCCAAGCACTAAGTGCCTTACACTATCTCCTTTAATCTTTATAACAACCAAATGCAATGGGGATTATCACTTCCCCCATTTTATTCACATGTTTCAGTAACTTGACCAATAGTCACCAACCACTCAGGGTCAGAGCCAGTATTTGAACCCAGGACTGATTCCAAAGCCCTTGCTCTTAGACCTGCCACCGTATTGCAGGCATAGATATATTAAGTTTTTCCTGTATACATTCCAAACAGTTTTATTTTACAGAACTGGCTGGAACATTCTCTCCAAAAACATTTGTACCTGATTGTTTTAAATTTCTGGAGCCAAGTATTCGGTCATCTTTAATCCAGTTCCTTTTAGATCCTTGTAAAGTTGTCTTCTAGGACAAAGTTAATGAGACTGGAAATATAAATACATAAATAAATTCCATTAGAGAAAAACAGAAAAGGAAAAGTATATACCATCTTGCAAATTTAATATTTCATTATTTATCTGAGAAAAATACAGTTTAAGAATTATATCAGCTCTATTATTAAAAAGTCTGCAATAGAGGTACTCTTTTATAAAAATATTAAAATTATAAAATATAACTTTTGACATTATATAAGTTTTGGGAGAGGGTTTCAACAATTTGTACACTGAAACATGAAAAAACACATACTTAAAAGAGTTTAATCTACAGGATTTCAACATAGAAAATAAAAAGGAACCCATGTGCAAGGTGAAGAAAAAGCAAAATTTTCAAACTTTAAGAAGAAAATATAGAAAATATCTTTATGATCTCAGAGCAGGGAAAGATTTCTTAAAATAAGACATGAAAATATACACCACAAAGACTGGTAAATCTAAACAATGGGAAAAATATGGCACAGAATAGGGAAGATACTTGCAACTTACACAACTGACCATTGACAAAAGATTAGAATATGAAATATATAAAGAATACCTATGAATCAGTAAGAACAAGATAAAAAAATCACAATTCAGAAATGGGCCAAGGACACAGGCAATTCACAGAACAAGAAATTAACAAACACATTAAAAGATACTCAGATTCACCATGGAATTTATCATGGAAATGCAACCACAATAAGACAGATCTCATCCATCAGATCTACAAAAATTAAAAGGTGACAATATCTAGTGCTGGTGAGGATGTAGATCAAAAGGCACACTCGTATACTGCTGGAAGGAATGTTAACTGGTACAATCACTTTAGAGAACAACTCAACGATATTCAGATCACAGCAATGTCTTTCAACCCTTTTTGATACATACATGTAGCTGAAACAAAAATTTCATGACATAATTTTTACCCGTTTTACATGAGATGCCTGGTGATAATCTTCTTTTCTACATTTTCTACTTTATGCTATTTTATTCTACCTACCTTATCCTATTTTATCCTATTCTATTTCAATTAAAAAGAAAATGCTGATCTCAGCCCATTAAAATAATGTCAAGATCACTAATAAGTCACGTTCTATACTTTGCAAAACACTGGCCTAAATGAACTCTAGCATATATACAGGGAACAATTGTTCCCTACAGTAAAAAAAACAAGAAATAGCAAACAGAATTGATCAACAGAATTGATCAACTGTGGCATACACACTACACAGTAATTAAAATAAATTATCTATAATCAACACAGACAAATCTTCAAAACAATGTTGACCAAAAATCACTAAGTCACAAAATGATACATATGGTAGACTATCTGATAAAGTTTTAAAACATGCAGAAAACAATACTATTTTAATGTGTTATGGATATAAACATATGTACAGCTAGACTTTTATGGGATTTTTTTTTTCATAGAAAAATGTTGATGGAATTAATGCCAAAGACAAAAAGTACCATGTAATTTAAACAAAGAATTGGTATGCTATGTCTTTTCCATCTGACAAAATGGTTTTCAAAATTTAAATCAATCATCTCAGTATGGGAGGATAAGGTTACCCAATGTTTAAAGAAAAAAAATTAGAATCAAAATTCCACCATTCTAATTTTGCCTTTACCATGGGCATAGGAATTCAATGAAGGTTTGATAATGAAAACTCATAATTTCTTTTGGCATCTACAAAATAAAAATTTTATCAATACCCTAGGAAGATAACTAAATAATGTAGCCAAGAAGTAGTATTTCTGTTATTTTGTATGCAAGAAAAATCTAAAATAGAGAGAAACATTTAACATCAGTGTATTAGAACGGCAAAAGTGTCTTTTCTACTTCTGGTGTCAATCTGCTTACCAACTTCACCCTTTTCTGTGTAGGAGGGCATTGTTTCTTACAGAGCCAGGGCTGAGGCTGACATCTGTATTGGGAAGATCGTCATAGTGACAGTGTCAAAGTATAGATCATCCCATATGATCTTACCATGGAATGATAGTAAGATCATCTATCTTACTATATGTTACTTTATTGGTTTTTCCCTTATATGTTTGTTTTGGGATATATGACTCAGCTCATATATATATGGTTAATTATTCATATTAAAAAGTGCTTTGTGTTTTGCAAAATAGTTTCTTATGCAGTTCCTCACTTTGTTTAAATGCAATAAAAACTATGTTGTTACAGAATCTTACCATACTGATATTTGCCTTGCAGTGTAAATAGAAAGTGGAAGGATAAGTGTCTTCTCCAAGCAGAATCTCCTGCCACTGATCTCTGCCTTTAGAGGTTCCGAATTGGACATTCAGGGGCCAATGTCCAATTTTTGTAAGAGTAATTTTTCAAAGCCAAAAATATATCAAGTAAGGTAATCTGTTGCATGACATTTTCTATTTCAGCTGTTTTCCTAAATTTGTATAGTTCAATAATTTATTTTCAAATTATCTCTGATTAGGACAGATAACTTATTTTTACATATTGTGTTTTGAGAGTTTTCTCTACACTCTTAATAAGTACACAGTTGAAGACTAGTGGACAAGAAGACAATCTTTTAATAATGTGATAAACATATTCATTTCTGATCCTCACATAGACCAGGTCAAACAATTCATTTCCCTGTACAAAGCTTATAACAGGCAGTCTGAACATACTGGTGTTGGTAAAGTAATCAGTATTAATAAGTATATCTGCTACACAATGTGTCACATTACTTGGTAATACCTCTGACCTAAATAATGAGTTAAGCTGATTATAGGACATACATTCATTTTCCTAATTTATTCAGCAAATATTGGTTTAGAGCCTGCAGTAGTCACTGAATAGAAAGCAAACACATAAAAGAGAAAACAAAATAACGTAGAACAAAAGAATATCCAGCTCTTAGGGGCTTGTTTCCACATTACTCCAACCCAATGGTGGGCTTTAAGAGCAGATATTGTGCAGTTAATCAGGAGCTTCTACATGCTGATAACTGTTTAGAAGTGATCCCAGAGGAAAAAGTGAAAAACACAAGGAATTTCTACAGGGAAATCCCAGTGTTACGTATTTTTAAATTCAACTTGATAATATAAGGTCAACTCTACAGCTATGCTTGGGAAACGTAATGTATAAAAAAAATATTTTTTCTTACAATATAGAACTCCACACTTTTAACAAATTCTCCCATCTGGGCAACACATTTGATGATGCTTTATAATGAAAGAAACGGGAAAGTAAATAAAACCAGTGTCTTTTAGGACGCCAGCACACAGTTTTCAGAATCGGTGTGTTAATGAGTTCCAGACCACGTAAAAGTCAATGGGACAGTGATGGTTCCCATGTATATGCTTAGCTGAGTCATTAGTTGGTAAATTTAATAGCTTGTTTAGTGTCATCTATAAGTTATAAATAATATAAATATATATAAATATAAAATAATAAAATATGATCTCAAATGTCACTTGCAAAAAAAAGGTAATGTTAACTGTAATTTAGTTCCATTTAAATGAGACCTCAGAAATAAACAACAAATAACACTAAGATATTTTACATGGCTGCTAATTAAAGTAAAACAGTTATAAGCAGGATGGGCAAAACTAAAAAACTAAAACCTCAAGTAAAACTAGATCACAACCTCAAAGGAAATGGTATTGCCATATGTCTATGAGAAACAGCAAACTGATTATAGAACACAGAAACACAGTTGCTATTTTCATTATTTGTTTGTTAAAAGGTTTCAAAATATCACCAAGCAACATGAGTCAGATCTTCAGTCCAAAGCAAAGCTGTATTTAATTTGAAGAGATTATTGAGCTCTCAACTTTAGTCTTTTCAGCTACACACAGAAAGTGTCACTCTTGAATATGAAAAATAATCAACATAAACTATACAAATACTTTTGTTATATTAACTAACATGAGTTGGGACTTGGAGCTCATTTGTAAATCCCTATAGATCTAATCCAATTTTTTAAAAAATCTTAACATGTCTGTTAAATAGAATCCTAACTGTTAAAGATCTATACCCACCACATAACTATTCCTTCAACATGATAGGCCCTCTTGGACTTGGCTCATTTCCATTTAGAATTTCTTTTGTTCAGTATTACATATATTCAGCATAATACAGAACATATTAAGATGTAGTCACGATTTATGATTTATTCACATACTATCATCTACTGGTACTTGTTACCTCAAAATGTCTTCCGTGGAGAGAAATACATAATAGATAACAGCTCAGGTTAGATTAGCAATGCTAAAGACATAAAAGATACACACTCCAATGTCAGATTAATGCTGAAAAACTATTATGGCTTAAATTTCCCGGAAACCTTCACGTTATCAGGATGGGATCACCATGTGAACTGGACTCATGTTCCTTGTGGATAATGAAAGCCAGAAGGATCACCTCAACCTTTCACTGATGGACATTATATCACTTACAGGGAGGCAAGCTATCTGCTCCTTTGTAGTAAATATCCCCATGTGTACCTACCTCTCTTTTAAGCCTTTAACAGGAGTCCTTAAAGTCACTTTGCAACCCTGATAATTCTGTTCCTGGTCTCAAATCTCCCTTTCCTAGACAATTTTGATTTGTAGTAATTTAAATTCAAGTAAACTTCAACAGTTGCAATGTCTAAGGGGCATTTTTTTTTTTTTTCTGAGACAGAGTCTCACTTTCTTGCCTGGGCTAGAGTGCCGTGGCGTCAGCCTAGCTCACAGCAACCTCAAATTCCTGGGCTCAAGCGATCCTCCTGACTCAGCCTCCCGAGTAGCTGGGACTACAGGCATGCGCCACCATGCCTGGCTAATTTTTTTCTATTTTTTAGTTGTTTGGCTAATTTCTTTCTATTTATAGTAGAGACGGGGTCTCACTCTTGCTCAGGCTGGTCTCAAACTCCTGACCTTGAGCGATCCACCCGCCTCAGCCTCCCAGAGTGCTGGGATTACAGGCGTGAGCCACCGCGCCCGGCCAAAGGGGCATTTTAATTTCACTTTAGCCAACGGATAAAACTAAACTAGACTATGATAATCTATTAAAGGTATAAGCAAATTCCGTGGATTCCCTAATTTATAATTCTAGATTTTTTTTTTTTTATGTTTTTGGATGTTTGAACATAAGAGTGTTTGTCAAGTAAAGGGCCTGAGGGGGAAACTCACTTCACCTTCTAAAATCATTCCTCTCCATTGGCCACTTACTCTAAGCCTCATTTAATTATGGACTGAAATTTGGTTAGGTTTGTCTGGTTCATTCAGACATCTCTAAGAGAGATAATTTAATACCTAACAGCATGATATCAGGTGATTTAAGCTCCTCTTCTTCTACACAGTTTCAAATAAAGAAAAGCAATGACCATTCTTACAAAAGATCTTCACAAGTCATCCACAGTCAGCAGACATTAAGAAGCAATTGCAAAGTCCAGTAAACTGTGGAGACAACGTACAGTTTTTCTCAGCACAATATACAGCAGTCATTTGGCTAGTCTTGTCTATGTAAGAGTCCAATCTCTTCATTCGATGTGTTGAGTTAAACTGTAAAATCCTGAATAATTTGAACTCTATTTGGAAAAATGTTTTTTACCTATAAAGGATGGTGACATTTACCACAATGGCCACGCTGTGAAACTCCATGAAAGACATATTAGAGCATGATAAAGAACATTTTCTCCCAGAAGATATTTAGATGTCTTCCCATTTAGAAGATATTTAATTCTAAAACCCAGTTCTCCATCTTGAACATCACCTTTGGTTTATCCTTCAGACTCACTGTAACCACGCTGTTTGAAACTGCAATCCACACCTGCGCTACCAGTCCCCATTTTTTAATAGTATTTATAATTTTCTAACACAATAATCAAATATGATTTTTGTTTCTCATTCTTCACAAGAATGTAAGTTCCAAAGGGAAGGGATCTTTGTCTTTTTTGTTCATTGATATATCCCAAGTACTAAGGACAGGATTTGATACAAAATAAATGTTTGTTGAATGAATGAATGAATCCATGTTGAGTTGAGCACAAAATATCTCTGGAGCGAGTTAGAGTCGAATTTCATTTATACAGTTAACACGTACCTTCGGAGCTCTGATCATGGGGAAGATAGATCATACCCATACAAATATATAATACCAGATAGTGATTAAGTGCTGTAAAGCCAAACAAGCAGGATAAGACATGGGAGAGCCACAGCAGTGGCTATTTTAAATGGGGTAGTCACCTCTCTGAAATGATGGCAATTGTTTCAAGACTTGAACGAAGAAATCCTGTGCCATGCAGATTTGGGTGGAGTGGGGATGTGAGCACGGAGCATGCGGTCCACTTGGTGAGCCCAGCAACAGCAATAGAGACTGCGTAGTGGGAGTAGGGCATGAAAGAATGAATCGGTCCTGTTGCCTTTACCTGCTACTTAACAACGCCTATGTACTACCTAGTACTGTAGGCAATAGATTACTTTTCACCTAGAGTACTCCGATTCTCCGAGCCTACTTTAAGTAGCTGTTCTATTCCAGCCCCCAAGCGTCTGTATCAGCACATCATATGAGATTACAAGGCACACAGTAAATACATTGTTAGGTTAACCTTCATAGCGGCCCCAGGAGTCACGAAATTGACTTAACTAAGAACCACTGTCTAGTAAAATGTAAAGCCAAGCAGGAACTCAGCACTAGGACGGTGCAAAGCCCGGATAGCTCAACAAACAAACATTAAATAGCGACTGTTACTTTCGAGTCTTGGGGGGCGGGGGAAAGAGCAACGTTTCAAAGCACTGTTTGTGACTCAATCGCTTTTACTCAGCTCTGACAAAGATTAAGTCGCCAAACGCGGTACAAGGCAGCTCTACGACATGCATTTTGTTACAGTCCTGGGCTCGAACTGTTGCAACCTTTTATGTCATTTTGCAAAGAACAAAAGCAAAAAGTTCATTCTGAACTCGCCTTCCAACTCAGTTCTTTCCCGGCCAGGGAGGCGCCCTTGGAAAGTTTTCAATGGCTAAAAACCTCTATTTCCGGGGCTGAGCAGAGCGACGTCTTCCGGCATAAAATGCATGGCGACTTTCTCCCGCTGCCTCCACAGCGGTTCCAAAACAGCTTCGCCTCGCAAAGGCAAACTTTCCGCGCCATCCCTCGACAGCAAGACCAAATGTCGAAAGCATATACTGTGACTGAGTCAGGGAGCCGGTTCGGGGACCGGGAGCAGGGGACTACATTTACGGGACGGGAGCCAAGGGGAGAGGCTACAGAAATGAAAACACCAGCAGCCTCTGATGATGAGCAGAGAGTATGGAGGGTGGGAACCGGGACCCCCACCGCCAGCACACTGGATGCGGAAGCCGGGAGGAGGACCATAGCCTCCTCGCAGGACGCTGCCCCAGAGTAACGCCAAACGCGACAGCCTCCCGCGGACTCGCGCATGCGCAGCGCAGCCTCAGCCACCGGCCGTGGCTAGAGAGTAGCCCCAAAACCGAGCGCCCTGCCCCCGCCCGCAGGCTTGCGCATGCGCGGCGACGCCTAGGCCCGTGGCTCGGGCGCAGCTCTCGGCCCCGGGGCCCCTCGGCGGTCACCGCTGTCAGGAGCTCAGGCAGCGGGGGCGGGGAGAGGTGGCCCGCCGCGGGGGTACCTGAGAGCGGCCCGCTTCACTTCTGCGCCCCGCCTCGGCCTCCCACAACACTCCTCCACCCCTCTTACCTCAGCAGAGGCCCGAGCCGCGTCCGCTCCGCCTCCTGGGTAGCGGTTACTGCTCGGTCGGGGGCCCGGCACCGCGACGAGTTGGCGCCTCCCCCTGAAGCGGCCCGGCCTCGGCGGGATGCGCTCCGGTGCTCGGCCGGGAGGGGAAGGACGGGGAGCGCAGACTAGGGGAGGGGACTGGCGACAGCGCCTCGCCCCTCCTCTCCTTCCTCGGCTGCCCACTGCCGCCCCCGCCCCTTTGTCGCAGACACCCACTCCCCTCAGAGCGGACCCCTGGGACTGACAAGGCGGCTCCCGCCGGGTCCGCCTCCGCCTGGGAAGTTCCTTGTGGGACACTCTCGCGGTCTCCAGGCCTCTGGTCCCCCAAATATTGGGAATTTGTAGCTGCCTGACCTGCAAGGATGAGGCGCGGATGCTGCTGTGGGCAACCTTTTCCACAATCCGTCTTCCCTAGCGTGGCCCGGCTTTTCTTCTAGTGGTGGCCCCTCCATCTGGGAGCTCAGGTCGCTGCACACGGTTTCCCCAGCTTTCACCCGATTGCTCTGGGGCTGAAGTCCTGTAACCTCCTGTAGTACAAACTCTGAGATAACGAGTGTCGTGGGGTGGGGTGGGGGTGACCTGAGTTACCTTGGGGCCATGGTCTAGAACAGCCACACTCTCCCCTTATTAATTTGCAGTAAATTCCTATGTCACATTTCACTTCCGTTGGCCTTAATAGATTTTAGTAAAATGCATCACAGCTTTGCAATGTGCAATAATTTCTTCCACTGTACTACACTTACATTGACCTGAGTGGGTTTGGGTAAAGTACTCAATAGTTAAATATTATTAGCTATATCTATGAAGTAAGCTGGTTGCTTTTATACCTGCTTTTAGATGAGGACACTGATTCAACATTTAAATAACTTGCCATAAGTAGTAGAGCCAGATAGAATAACTGAGATTCCAACCTAGAGTGACCATGTCAGTCTTTTGTCTGGCTTTTGTCATTCCATCAGAAGACTGTGACTGCCTTTATTGCAGCTGCTATAGTCCACAGACGTTTATGTCTATTATCAGAGCATAGCCCACTGTGCCTCAGGAGGAGGCTTGCAAGATGGAATTACAGGTATTTCTCATAGAAGTCTAACTAGATGAACTTTTTTTAAACTTTTTACTTTTAAATAATTATAGAATCACAGGAAGTTACAAACATAGTAAAGAGAGACCTCATGTGCCTGTCCCCCTGTTCCTCTACTGGGAACGTTATAAGGTGAAATTTATGAGTTAACATGTTTGCTCTCAAAAAACACAATTTAATAAAGATAGCTTGCATATTTTGAGCACCTGTTGTTTGCCAGGAGCTTTAAATATATTATCTTTTTTGAAGCTCACAACAATGCTGTGACGCAGGAGTTATCCTTATTTTACAGATAAGCCAACTCGGGCTCCAGGAAATTAAGTCTTTTCCATCAGCAACCACGGCAAGAGCTGCCTGCCTTGTACACTTCGTCTGTTCCACATTATGGACAGGTGAAGTTCATGCATGCCTTATGCTGTGCTTTAGCTGAATCCTGACAATTATCTAACAATAAAAACGTTTTATGTATTATTAGTGTTTTGAAAAGTGTGATATTTTATCAGAAGTTAAAATTATTTTTTTATCTACACATAAAATAATGTGTTTCATTGAATATTTTAATTTTATTTGGGACCAACAATTTTTCCCAGGGAGGGCAAAATTAAAAGTAGGAAGGAAAGATGTCTAGATCTCATATAAGCTCTCTTCAAAAGTTTTTGGATAATTTGTCTATTAACTTCACTCTGTTGCTGAATTCATTAGATAAAAAAGTTGGACTCTCAGAACATATAGATTTGTCTTTCAGGGGTTAAAGTCCCCATCACCACATATGCCAAGTTTGCCTACATCTGGACCTGTGCAGGGAGTGAACTGTCCATGCTCTTATCTAAGTTCAACTCTTCCACTTACGTGTTATTATAGATTCTGTCTTCCTTACAGTCTCAAGATTTTCACTCCAGCAGTTGTCACCTCTCAATCCTACATTATTAATTCTTCTCTCTATGCTGGATAACATAGCACAAGCATATTAACGTGGTGCAACATTTCTCTGTCTTTTAAAAGTTCCTTGACAACACATCCCCCAGCAGTTACCACCCTGTTTCTCTGCTCTCTTCCAAAACTCCTGAAAAAAGTCATTTATACGCATTGTAGTCTCATCCTCTCCACATATTCATTCTTGAGTCTACTTTAATTAGGTTTTTCCCCTACCACTCCCCTCCACTGAAATGCCTCTTGGCAAAGTCATCAATGACCTCTAAATTGCTAAATCAGTGGTTACTTTTCAGTTATCTTACTCAAACTATCAGCGGCATTTGGAACAGTTGCTCCCTGCTGCCATTTTGAAATATTCACATTCTTCACATGGTCTTCAGATGGCCCCTCTCTCTTGGTTTGTCCACCTCACTGTCAGCTTCATTTGCTCATCCCAAAGTTCAGTCCTTGAACTTCTCTATCTTCTCATTCCCTTGACGATTTTGTTCCAAGACATGGTTTCAGTGTCCAGCCTGGTGCCATTTCTCTCCGCTGACCTGACACTTCTGAGGTTCTAACAGGTTCTTGATTCTATTCCAATGAAACTAGGAGCACTTGTCCCTTTTCTAGCCTACAAAGGGGACCCAGCTATAACGGGACAAGCTTCACTTTTTAAACCCCCAAAACAAGTGAGAATTCATCTTGCTTTTTTCTTTTCAAATAGCCAGGTACCAAGATCCCAATCACAAGAAAAAGGGGATGGGGGTGGGAATTGTCTTTTGACTTTTTCTTGGGAATTCAGTGTCCTCATTACAAAAAAAAAAAAAATGATAAGTATGTAAGGTAATGCATGTGTTACTTAGCTTGATTTAGCCATTCCATAATATATCCATATATCAAAACATCATGTTGTATACCATAAATATATACAATTTTCATTTGTCAATTAAAAAATAAATTTTTAAAAATTTAAGAGAAAAGAAGATTAAATTAGCAATAATTCTTCAGTATATTCTTGGCCTGGGTTTTTACAGTACATTATGTCAATTAATCCTGCAACTTAAATAATTTTGGCCCCATCTCACAGATGAGATAATGGAGACTTAGGTTAGATCACTTACCTAGGGTCCCATAACTACTAAGAGGCAGGGCTAGGACTCAAATCCATCTCTGATTCCAATCTGGAGCTCCTTCCACTTGACCATGTGGCCTCTTTCCAAATAAGTTGGAAAGGTAAATGGGCCAAATAACAAAAGGCCTTGGCAATGTAACAGCAAGATGTATCACAGGATCTCACAAAGGATTTTAAGCAGAAGGATAGCATGATGCCCTGCGTGGAGCAGGCCCACTGTGTGCCAATGGGAAGCAAGGTGAGCCTGGGACCAGGGAGACCATGTTGAGATGTGATTACATCAGCCTAGGCAGGAAACCAGCTGTCCTTGAACTCAGGGTGACAGTGGGTTGGGCTGAAAGAGAGAGAAGAAAATGGATTTGAGAAAATTTTAGGAGTTGAAATCAACAAGACTGGATATAAAAAATAGAGAAGAATGTGAACTTTGTAAGTCATTTAATATTTTTCAGGCCTCAAAATCGTTACCTTTAAAATGAAGGGTTAGACTAGGTGCTCTCTTAATATTTTAAGATTTTTTACAAAGCCAACTGATACCCAAACCTAACAAAGATGGCACATTTTTGTATACTGAGTAGGAAAAAAGTCCTAAATAAAACGTTAACGAATAGAATCTAACAATAAATTTAGAAGTATATTGTACCATGACCAAGATTGGGTTTATTTCAGTGATATAAATGTGGCTCAGTGTTAAGAAATTGATTAATATATTTCTCCATAATAATAGGTCAAAGGAGTAGGAATGTTTTGACTGATGAGAGAATGTCTGACAAAATTCAATAGTTAGTCATTTTTGATCAAACATCTTTAGTAAATGGCTACATACACTGAAAGCTAGTTTCATGCTTAATGGTGAAATCCTAACAGCATATCCAATAAACACAAGAATTAAACAATGGTGCCTACTTATCCCTAATTACTTAATGTTGTAATGCTATTCTGGAAGTACCAGCTAATGCAACTAGATAAGAACATAAAGTAAAGAATATAAATGCTGCAAAGGATGCAGAAATTTTTGCATTATTTATAGATTATGTAATTAGATTTGTTGGCTGAGGGATGCACACAGCTCCTTTTCAATTTTGGATCTGTCCAGTTCAAAGGCATTTTATGAATGTCCGCCCCAGACAATGGAGCTGTCACTGTGCTGTGGTAGCACATTGTCCAGTGGGAGGCACTGGGAGGGGCTTTTGTGATTCCTTTCTATAAGGCTTAAGGGAAAAATATCAGGTCCCTTTCCTGGAAGGCAGCTGACATTTTAACTCTGTTTGTGGCTTTTCATTCCTTGTTCCTGAAAGGCAAGACAAGCCCAGTAATAGTTCAATTGCCCCAGGCTTGGGAGCAACCACTCTTTTGCTCTTGCACACGCTTCTCCTGGCCAGTGGTCCACGCTGGATTGGCCTTTCCCTGCACTGCAGGGGCAAGAGCCAGAATCGAGGACTGGATTCTAGCGTAGAAATAAGCAGGGCAGGTTTTATGGCCTGCTTTGGTTCTAAGTCATGTAGGCACACATAGTGTGACAGTGTAGCCTGATTTGGTTGAGTTTGACATTAGAATCCAGATAAAATCCTCAGCTAGTAATAATGATAATTGGCCTTGCTTTATTCTCTTGTGCATGTATTGCTCCTGGGGACCTCAGAGAGCAGTAGGTCAAGAGCAGGATTAGGGTTTTCCTGGTATCCTGGTCAAACACCACCTTAATTGCTCTCGCTTTTGGTATGACCTAAATATACCTTAAAAACCCAAGAAAATAGTTGTTGATGCTCAATACCTGGATCATTATTTCAGTAGATGTTGGAAATGGTGTTATCCTAACTCTATCATTTCTTGTTCATTTATTAGCTAGCATACTTCTCTCTTTTTTTTTTTTTTCCAGACAGAGTCTTGCTGTGTTGCCCAGGCTAGAGTGCCATGGCGTCAGCCTAGCTCACAGCAACCTCCAACTGCTGGGCTCAAGCAATCCTCCTGCCTCAGCCTCCCAAGTAGC